GAACCTGCCTTCACCCTGAGTCAGCTGGGATAGACTCCAGACACATTAAAACTAGATAAATGTGGAATAATAAACACAACAAAGCAAACCTGTGTGTATAAACATGTAGAACTCTGTTTGACATAGTTGTCTCTGCTGGAAGAGCATGGAGGTGCCGGGCACTGTGGCGTCGTGGGTTCTAATGACTGATGGTATGAAAGACCTAAACACCACCCCTTTGAGCGATTTGAGGCACGTGGCTGAGTCGATCTGCAACACACTGCTACCAACTACTACAGCGCCTACAAAAAGTATTCACCCCGTTTGGAAGTTTTTCCCTTTTGCTGCTTTTTAACATTGAATCTTGATCCATATATTTTGGTTTTTTGGACAATAATTTGCAAAGTACATAAGAAGTGATTTTGCCAAGTAATGTAATTTAAAATGTTAAAAATTAGACATAAAATGCAAAATAAGTGATTACAAAAGCATTCAGCTCCTTCAAAGTGCAGCCAGTTGGTGCTAGAAGTCCCACGATGAGCGAAACAAAGATCTGAGTGCAGAGACGGTGTTTTTAAGTTAATAGATCTTTATTTGATTTCATATCTTGTGCATTCTCATTCAAAAGGCATGAAGATAGAAAAGGAGACAGAAAATGGGTCATGGATATAAATATACAAAGAGAGGCAAAATCTTTACAACCTGTAACATTACATGAAGGCTTAAGCTAACCGTATGGACGTGGGGCACAGCACTTTGGATTACTACAGTAATTTTCACCAAAAAAGCCACATCGGACACAGGCTACATGGTAGTAAACACCTCATGCAACTGCCCAACATTGAAGCTGTGCCTTACCCTCACCCACAAGCAATAGAAAAGTGTGAATCATGTGCAGTATCTCCCCTCCCTCCCCTTTGGCAACGCTAAATGTACAAAACTCAGCCCCAGTGTTTCCCACGACTCGTGTGCATCGTTTCTTTGAAAGTGGAAATATGTGGAAATATGAAAAACCCCAAAATACAGACAGCGCCACCCATGTCTATACAGTCAAGTCTCACGGTTACAAACAAGACGAGTACCATGCCACGGATCAAGGAACTCTGACTGGTCCATTTAAAAAGAGAAGCACAGTAGTACAGTCAAGTACGAGATGACAGAATAGGCCACATTGGTCAGAACTGAAACCAGTCGGCTACTTCAAGTATCCAATCACATTTCAAAACCCCATCGAAAAATCAACAGAATCCACATTCACTGACGTTTACAAATCATTTAAAATTGGCACAAACTCCGATAAAGTATTTACTGAACGTGCAGATTACTAAGAGTTTTGTTGTTGTTTTTTTTCTCTCTCTAAGTACACAGGAGTCAAGATGCTAGTGCAATAATATCATAATCAATAATAACAATGATTCCAACTTAATAATAAATAAAGGGACAACTAATGTAAAGGAAAAAAAAAAAAAGAGGAAACAAGAAGCCCAAAGCAAACACAAAGGACAACATCCAACAATCAGCAGAAGAAACGGTGAGCCACGATCTTCAATGGTGAACATTCACAAAGGCACACACGCAAACTCACGCACGCACGCACACGCCACGTACCGGCCAATATATGCACATGCTTAGGCACAAACGTTTAATATGGGATCTGGTTTTGGTAATACTGGATCATGTCGTAGGTTCTGCTCCTGTAAACACACAAAAAAAAGGAAACAATCAAATCAAAGTTTTCATGTTAAAAGAAAAACAGAAAATCTAGAAACTGCACCAACCTGTTGCTGAGGAAGCAGTTCTGGATGACTTTGATGATGAAGGAAGCTGCATCTTTCTCGCTCAAACCCGGGTTGAACCGCTGCCTAGAGGCGGGAAATGAGACCATGAACTTCTCTGCTTATTCACATGAACACAAATACGCATTCACATTCACGTGCAGGACTCACTTGAGCAGTTTGATGGTCTGTCCTCTGAAGCAAGGAAGGCCGGTGTCCAGCATGAGGTTGACTAAGGAGACCACTCCATCCATGTAGGGCCTGATGATGCACCAGAGGAACTCGTCTTAATGTCACTCATCACGTCACTGTGCAGTCAATAGTCGGTTTAGCATTCAGACATACTCACCTGACAGCCAGGTATCCCCTCACACACATCTCCATGAACCACTTGAAGGGCGTCGCCTCCATCTTCCCGCCCATGATCATCACCATCTCGTCGGTCAGCTTGATGTCGGGCTCCCAGCCGAGGTTCCCGCCCGGAGAGCTTTCAAACATGAAGCCAAAGTCTGGAAACACAGACATCAGCTAAGAAAACAAGATCTTAGGAGTTTTCAAGGATGCTCCAGTGTCGTGTTGCAGCGTGAAAATGATGTCTGGCACTATTAGTACAGACACAATTATTCAAAAGGGTTGTCTAGGATACCGCAAAATTTAAAAATAGTAAAAAGCTTTGATGTATTTTGCAATATCCACTATTTTCCACTACTTTTTATGCATTTTAGTTTCTGCCATAAAGGATTTAGAGTCTCATGGTGTAGGAATGTTAGCATGCAAAACAAAAGTTAACATGCTTTTAATTTGTAGTACAGAGCAGTGCTAATGCTACTGGTTTGCAGGTTCAGCTAATTATTTCAATAAATGTGCAATAATGTCTGAAACATGTTTTTATGGACCTTTGAGGTTTGACTGATTTTATTTCTAAAACTAAACACTGTATTGTGTTCAACATAAAAGTAAATTCAACACTGGAAATCAGCATGTTAGACAGCTGTACTAAGTAACCCACTGTCAGGTCTTATGCTGAGGATCATGAAGCTGATTTAAACTGGTCCTGGTTAAAATACCTGCATGATAAACACCTCACACAATAAATCCATCTGATACACACTTTAAAATCGACACAGAAAGCTGCCTTATATGGATTTTTCCTTAGAAGTAATCTAACGTGTGCTTTTCTCCTCCAAAATGATCCCACATCAGTCACATGAGAGGCTGTTCCCTCCTGATGAGCGCTATGAGATGACTTGTTGTTGTAAATATGCACTATACAAATAAAATTAAATTGAAAATTGAATTAAATTTCATTTTTATTCTAAGTCTAAATACTTACTAAATGGATTTCACATATCAACTTCAATAAAAGATCATAGACTTGCACACGAAACACACCGATGTGGATGAGGTGGCCCTGACTGTCCAGCATGATGTTGCCGTTGTGTCTGTCTTTTATTTGCAGCAGGAACAGCAGCAAGCTGTAAGCTGCCATGCTGCGGATGAAGTTGTACCGCGCCTGAAACGACAAGCGTTGGAGGGAGAATCAGACGAAAAATGGTCTAACCTTACAGGCTCTAATGACTGTTTGAGGCTGGATGAGGTTGTGAGATTTGGCTTTTACCTTCTGGAACGCCAGCGTAGACTCGTCTCCATACTGGTTCCTGAAATAGTCGTACATGCCGAAGTCCGTCTGTCGGCCCAGTTGGTCACGAGATTTGCAGTCTGGGATGCACTCGATCACACCGCACTGTGGTGGAACAACAGACGAAGAAAGAAGAGGGTTGATTAGAGATTTTAATATTCAGTACTTCCATGTCAGACAGCAGTGCAGATGAAGACAGGGACGGTTTAACGTGAACTCACTCCAGGAGCTGTGGCCACCACCCTGTAAGGAAACACGTAGAGATCCAGGCCGACCAGCTGGAAGATGTTCTTAAACAGGCTGATGATCTGAAGTGCCAACATGTCCTGGGAACACAGATGATCAAATGTCAACAAAAGGGAGGCCTGGCTCAAACAATGAAGCCAAACAAAGATCTCATGAAACGGGTGGATGATAGCAGAGCGGTAAGTCTAGATCAGGAAACCTGTCTGCAGTCATCTCCAACTTTAAAGATGGCCGCCTGCCAGCAGATTCTCTTGGCCTCCTCTTCGTTCTTCGCCTCATCCACAGAATCTGAGCGACACCGCAGACCTGAGGGGACGATGTAATGACACACAAGTTTAAAAAGCATAAAATCTACTGTAGTTTCCCTTAAACTCCACATCCTCCAAAAATGTGTTTCTGTCATTGGTAGTTCTGTTGAGCATCGCTATAAAGAAAGACTCAGAGTTTGTCTAAACTAACCGGAGTGTTTGTGCCTGCAGCATGTTTGGTGATAAGACAACTGACTTTAAACTGAAATCAATGCCTGGAAACTTAAACCTGCGAGGCACGTGCACTGAGAATGAACTTTGGGTGATTTGAGGAACATCTTGTATCCAGTAATTTAACTTTTAAAAGAAAAATATTTGCACATTCATAGACTACATTTTTCAAGGAGGTGAAGATTTTGATTTAAGAATTTCTAACCAGGTAATTGAAAGGTTTTTATTAAAGCAAAATAAACATATTGGCACTATTATTATGCACAGCAGGGTAATCTTTTTTATCTCTTTGAACATCTGGCCTGGATTAGACATTTCACATTAACAGTACCTTCTTTCTCCAGCTCACTGACTCCACACCTCCTAACTTTGAACTTGGCCAGGTAGGGAGCTTTGGCAGCGCTAAACAGAGGCAAAAAGGTTAGAAAAGCACTTCCAGTGACGCTTTCACATTGTGAGAGAGGTTGGTTTTGAGGCCCACCTCTGCATGGGGGTCCCAGACTTGTAGTCAATATCCAGAACTATGGCCTCAGGGTTACTGGGGAGATAACAGCCAGGCTGGACTTTGATCTGTGACATGGCATCCAGGCAGGCCCTCTTCCTCTCCTCCCCTTTGGGAAAAGGCCTGACGGAGACAAACAAAAACAACTGGAACACACAGATCTTCCACGGTTCTACGTGTGCACCTCCGGTACTGAAAATAGCATGCATGGGCATCTCGCTGAATGGTTTCAGACCACGAGTGACAGCCAGGCTCTGCTGCTAACCGCACAGAGGAGTCTTTGGGGTGGAGAGTAATAGAGAGTGGAAGCCGGAGAACAGAAGTTTTTTCCCCTTGGCTTGTTGCAATTAGTGTCGTAATGAGGGCAGAGGGGAATTTGTCACCCACTAGTGGGCTGACGAAAACACTCTCTGTACGGAAGCTGTCACAAAACAGCTCATCAGCCGCCGAGTTTGCACGCCGGTGGACAGGTAGTCAGGGACGGAGGCGGCAAGGCTCAGAGCGTTTTCCAGACTGATGCATAATCAAAGTGACAGAAGAGCAACCGATAGCCCAATAAATGAACAACAAAGGGACTTAGAGAGCAGAACTCTGGTGGCAGGGAGAGGAACACAACATGTTGGCTCGGGGGAAAACTTGTTATCACTTCATAAACACCCTGAAGATAGCTGGAGGGTCGAGTTTAACAGAAAAGTTAAACTGTGGTAATTACTTTAACGGCTTTTGAAAACATGATCCGTAGTTTTTTCACTTTTGTTTCCATGTCTCTGACAAATTATGGGTACTGTACACTGACTCATTAAGCTGGGATGTCATTGAATTAAAGAAGAGAGTAAAGAAAGTCAAATAAAGGATGAGATGATGATGATGCAGTGACAAAACAAATCAAGGTTCTCGCTTATTGTAGAACAACTGCAGGGCTACATGTTGCATGTTTGATCCTATTAACTAAGAGCAGCATTTACTTTACAGGCAGACGACGGCCCTCAAATGTGGAAAAGCTTTAAACAGTGGGTGTAATTACATATAATGACCTACAATGTGAGTCTAATTATAAAAAATAAGAGTGTTCATACTTGATAATGGCCGACACGTTGGTAATCTTGTTAAAGAAGTCAAACTCTCTCTGGTAAAAGTCTTTGGCCGGGCCAGACAGCGAGCCGGTAATCTCCTCCACCATCTGCTCCAGCAGCTCGCCGATGTCGGCTGCAGGGAGAGAGGAGGTCAGAGTCTGCGGTGAACGGGTTGAGTCAGAGAGAGAGAAACGAGGTGAGGCTGAATATCTCACGGTCTTTCTGGTTCCCTTCCTCGTCCAGGTAGATGTTGGTCTTCATGTTCCAGATGAACTGGTGAGCCAGCAGCTGAGACTTCTGAGCGGCCCACAGGATGTACTCTCTCACGTAGCCCATCTATACGCCAGCGTGGACGGGAAGAAAACGACAGCTGTGATCGTTTAACCGTCATGAGAGGCCTTTACATAAATGCGCTGAGTCATAAAATCTAGAGTTTACCTTGTCGTAACGAAGCGCCTGGACAATCTGAGGGATGTAGAATAAAATGGCGTCCTACAAACAGCAGCAAGGATAAAAAAACAAAACAGCTTTTGGTGAAAACGACACCATTAGGCCTGAACTGAGCACCAGGATCAGCTTTAACAGGGTTTAATCTGAAGAAATTATTCTAAAACAAAAACAAATACCAGAAAAAATGCCAACAACCGATGATGTGCATGTATGTGTGCTTACAGGAGGGAAGGAGCGCAGCACTTTGACGCCATACTGGGCCGTGAGGGGGTGAGGCGGGTACATGGAGGAGAAGTAGGACAGTCCAGTCGGAGGATCCGCCGGAGCCCAGCACAGAATATGACTCAGCTCCGGAGAGTCGGCATCAATCGTGTGCCACGTCACCAGAAACTGGAGAAAAAGGCCAGAAAATGACATGAATTTCACTGCGGGTTCTGTTCGGCGCGTATCACAGGATCGGACCTGACGGCGTTGGTCTCCAGAGGAAGCCGTGTTTATTAGTTACTAAAGTGACAGGAATAAACAAGTACTCGGTGTCAAAGAGGATCGTCAGCTAAATTACGGCGGTCTTCGGGGAAGGCCGTGCTCCGGCTCCCCTGCCTCTTCTTCATACGGCCTCATTAGGAGTTCAATCAGGCAGAGCTAAACGGGAAGGACTGGAGGAGGCTGGAGGGACACGGTTTACTTCAACAACATCGACATTTCTCCTGTGACGATACAAGTCAACTCAAATCAACAACACCATGCAACAGAAACTTTTTCCTTCTGTTTAGGTGTTGCTGCAACTTTACATGAATGCTGTAGTGAAAATTTCACAATCAAAAATTTTCAAGTGAATAAACAGTAGAGTGCAGCCACAGCATTATCCATGAAGCGCTGCAACATTCCTACCTATTAGGATGAAGGTGCATGAATCTTTTGCAGTGATTATAATGAATCAACATACTCAAAAGTTTATATATTTAAATAATATATAAGGGAGGGGGCTCGCACTGCAGAGAGAAACACAATAAACTGATAAAGAAGGCGAGCTCCAGTTGTCCAACTGGACACAGTTAAGGAGGAGGCCGGGGTGAGAACGCTCAGGAAGCTGGACTCAAAGCCGGACCCACTTCATGTCATGGAGGTGTTTCAGCAGAGCACCTTCAGTCACAGACTGGTTCCTCCTGAATGCAGGACTGAACGCAGCAGGAGGTCCTTCCTGCCATCAGACTTTATAACGTGCAATAAAACCACATGGCTGCAGAACTGTGACACTTTATGTACAAACGTTTTTAAAATCCATCTTTGCACAGTCCCATTTTGCACACTGGGTACCTATCTTATTTTTATTTTAGTTTTATATTGTATATTTGGTTTTATATTTTATGAGTGCCTTCAGTGTCGGGTGTCTTGTGGGCTTGTCTGTGTTTTTTTAATGTCGCTGCTGCAACAAGTAATTTCCTGTAAAAGGATCAATAAAGTAAATATTCTGTTATTCTATTCTAATATATAATATGTATATATATATAATCAAAAGCTTGTAAAAGAGGTAGAACTAGTTTTAGCCATAACAGGTGCTTAGATTGCACATAAAAATGGGAAAAAAAGGTGCAGTGGGAGGACGTATTACCAGTTGGTCGCGGTATATAGGCAGCAATAATAAATCTAAAATGTACATGTTGTAAGCTGCCTGTTTCCATTTACCTACTTTACAAACAGACGTTTGCCACAAAATATGTCGTTTTCTTTGTGCCTTCACTGGTTGCTAAGGCGTTTTAGTAGATTTATTTTGGCAAGCTGCTTAAAAATCCACTCCAAACCCACTGAGAGTTAAAGTACTTAAACTCAATTAGTCTGTCCTTGCCCCTGTGATTTTACCATTATCTGCTCCCAATGCTTGAGAATAAAAGCACCATGAATGTAACCAAAAGGGTGGCAGCTGTCGTCGTGTGGCGGGCGGCGGAGGAGGACCTCACCTTGATTGCTTCAGGAACGTCGCACACAGCAGCCGGATCCATTCGCACCAGACGAGTCACCTCAGAGACAATAGCCTCCGTGTTTTTAAATCTGAAAAGCAAATAAAAAGCTGAATAGGTGTATGCCCTATAAATAAACTCCACATGCCGCTTATTCAGCGTTAACAAGTCTGTCGATCAGCTGTTTGTTGGTGAATAATGTACATTTAGTAAAAGGGTTAAATGGCGCATTGAGCTGTTTCCATTAGATAGAAACTGTGCCGTAGCTTTTTATACGCATCAAAGGTGACATGATGGTACAAATGGGGTCTTTGTGGTGTCGTAGCTCAAGCAACCTTCAGCAGAGTTAATGATTTCAGCTTTTTAAAAGCTCGCTAATTGGCTTGGATAAAATTATTGTCATTTGCCAAATTTTCTAATTTGTTTGACGACATGTACGACTACTAAAGCTTGGGATGTAATGGATCGAATGTCTCCGTGTACCTGGCGGGCAGCTGCAGGGCAAGGTAAGGTGCGATGCTCCAGGCCAGGTTGACGTTGTCCTTCCACTGTTTTTCCGTCAGGCTGATGTATTTGGACCTCCAGTTCGCAATACTGGTCTCCACCGACTGCTCTGTAGCGATCGCAAGCTCCTGAGTGGACAACGGGTTGTACCATGTTGTCAGCCGCTCAATCTCACTGGCCTGGAGAGAAACATGCAGGTTTAGGTAAGAGAGGAGCTTCAACATAGGAGGACAGGTGGAACACCAAGCACCAAGCATGCTCATAAAGATGCACGACAAAACGCAGACATGTAAAGACTTTGTTTGTTGAAAAGGTAAATACCAGTAAAGCCAGGAGTAGTGTCCTGCGTTTCATGTAATATTTGTGCAGCTGAGAGCCTCTGTTGCTCTTCTTAGACAGTCCTGAAACAGCAAAGAACCAATAAATGAATAACACATAATTCATCTATGAATAGGAGGCAGATGAAGGTTAAGTTTCACTGTGACCATCTTTTGCAGCAAGTAGCTGTTAAATTCTACTCTTCCGTGTGTCCTACCTGATTTCTTGGATATGGTGGACATCCCTGAGGACAGAGGGTAGGTGTTGATCCATCCCTGAGCCACCTGCTGCCTCTGACCTACTGCTGCATCCAGACTGCTCCGGCTGTCCGCCACCGCCACTACAGACAGGCTGTTCACCGACATGTCTTGGGGATCTACACAGAAAGGAAAAAACATTATCAATCTATCCTACAATTCAATTCTCCAAAGGCCCGGATATTAACTTTATGAGTTCTGGTGAAAAAATATGATTCTCTACTTGACAAATAGGCATTCAGGGAGCTTTCTGGTCTGCATCTATAAACTCTGACACTAGAAAACAAGACGTAATCTTTAATCTACAACCTTGGCAGCCTTCTGTGCAAACAAAAGAGCCCAGATGGAAAAACCTTTACACTACACATCACAGAAACAAACAAGAAAATCTAATCCACAGATAAAGTGTGCGGTCTCAGGACATGTGAAGTCTTAAATTAATTTATCATTACTGAAAGTTTAGGCAACCGTTTCCTCCATGCTGTACCTGGGGGAACCAGCTGGTTGGCAGCTAGATACTTCTTGTCTGACTGCAAGCTGGCGTAGAACTTGATCATTATGCTGATGTCTTCTCTCAGCCTCTTGTCCGTCTGAGTGGGGAACTTGGGAGTCACACTACACAGAGATGGAACAGAGATGCAAAGAAGTTAGTGGATAAGGAGAATCCCTCTACAACACTCTCTTTTCTTGCCAACAAAAAATATTTTAACTTTTAGTACCTGAAGTAGTCAAAAGCCGTGGAATAGATCTTCTCTCGAAGCACGTTTCTGATGGTGGCGTTGGTCACAACGTCAGCATGCAGGAGAGTCAGACCCAGAGTCAGGAGTCTGGAATAAAGCAGATAAATGCAATAAGCTCAGGGTTCAGTATTTAAGATAAAGCCGCTTTGCTGGTGAAATAGTGAGATATGGGACCTAAATCTCGGTCCGATGGCAGCAACGTGTCGGTTCAGGCTGCTTTTGGCTCCTCCGACGCTCAGAGACAGAGATCTCTGCAAAATAGTTGTGAAAATCTCCACCTGGTCAGCGCTGCTGTACTTGGCTATCTCGAACCTCTGCACCAGAAACTGGAGGAAAAACAGAAAAAAAGAGTTTTTGACGCTTGGCAGCTTAAAATCTGTGTTCATTTCAACATGTTGGAATGATGGAACATTAGGAAGGGAAACTCTTCAAGCTACATCATATCATGGAAAAAATGTGCAGAAAAATAAAGTTTTTGGTCTATACCAGACACAACAGGATAAAACAAAAAGCAACAAACAAAAACCGTCTACTGAGTTTAATTTACAGACACTACAACTACGTGCCGACAGATTGCCAAACATGCTGCATGTAGTTTACTGATGACTGGTGATCTACAGTGTACAACAATTTTAACAGTAACATATGACTGAGCAGCATGTTGTTGTCAGTGTGCTGCTGACCTCTATCCAGAGGAAGTGAGGGATGACATCAGGAGCACAGGGTGCAGGTTGACTCTCCTCTGAGACGGCCAGCGGCCCGGTCTCAACCTTTGCCTCGGAAAACAAACCCATCTTGAGCTCCACTGTCATCTGCCAGGCCCCTGCCATCTCACGCATGAACTAAAAAAGATGGAGAAGAGAAGATGAGCACTAATCTGTTCCACAATATTCAATCTTTCAACAAATTATTCATAGGCTTTTATAAAGGGTGATAAATATACATACTGGCACTTCCACTCCATTGTGTGCAGCCAGGAGCCATTCCCAGCAGGCAATAGCAGTTTCCATGCCATGCTCTGTAAACATCTTCAGAGGGGACCAGCACAGATGGTGCAGGAGCTGTGGATCGCAGTCTGAAAGACCAAATATAGAAAAATGTCCCATTAAAACTAACTTAACAAAAAACAAAAGGCGCATGGCTGAAAGACAACAAAGACCTTTTAGACACAGGATACGTGACATTTCCTGCTTTATCAGTCTGTTAAGGCCCTGATGGCATCATTCAGATATAGTTCACTTCTACATTAATGCTCCTCACAGTTCCATTTAGACGTACCCTTCAAAGTAACCGAGTCACAGTACCTCCATGATATTTATGATACATGTTAGACTGAGCGGTATAAGGCTAAATCTAAACTAATAACAAGCTTATCAAACTGTTCAAATAGCTAATAGTTTGTTCCTGCTGCTGTTTGATGCTGTAGGTATATAAGAAACTCTAAACAGATGGAGGCAACAAACTAAACTTCAGCTCCATTTGGTCCAAACATGGATTACATTTATTATAGCTGAGTTAATCTGAACTGTTTCTGGACCAATGTTGGTGTTGAAATGTGGGAAAAAAAACCTTCAGTATTTACTATCCATTAATAAGGCAGCATGTAGTTAAGACTTGTGTTGAAAGTGATACGGGAATGTTACCAGGTCAGATTATCAGTGCACATATAAGAAGGGCTCAAATATAGAATTTAAGGTTGCAGAGCTGCTCACTTTTGGTCGTTATAAGCAGAGCTGCCATCTTGAACATGGCCTGAGTGAAGGCCTCTGGGTCTTTTCTGTCCAGAGCACTGGTCATCTGATGGATCATCAGCTTGTTGAGGTCTGACTGGCTGTGAGTCGCCTCTGAGAACTGGATCATTCCAGCCACCTGGACAGCACATAAACAGACATGGGAGTCACACAGAAACTGTGCAGAAAGTCTCAGAGAGCATAACAACCCCTGAGCACAGAATTTACCTCTCCTGTGTACCGGTTTCGTAGGTTAAGCGACGCCATGAAGTTGGAGTAGTCCTTCTTCACACATGCTGGTCTTTCTGTCAGCTGAGTGGTCTAATGAGGAAACAACCGTTTAAGCAAGACTCAAGACCAAACAGTTACAAGCTAGGAAAGAACCACACAAAGCTGTACTTCAACACTTCTGGATATTCTGAAGTATCATGCCTGAGCCCTGTCTCTCTGTATTTAGTGTTCAGACCAACCTGGGGGAAAGCAGCCTACGGTTGGCCACATGGGGGGAGGACAGCACCAGCAAAACCAGTTAGCCAAATGGGCAACCAGCCAACCAACCCACCCGTCCATTGCAGGTAAGCAACCAGGTAACCAGCAAATCCGTAAACCAGCCAAGCAACCAGGTAGGCAGTTCGGTGCGGTTTAATAAAGACAAAATACAACAAATGAAGCAAATGAAAAGACAGATATAGCAGAATGCAAGCCCAAGAACATATAAGAAATGCAGAGCAAGCAAAAAAACACAACAGACTAGTAAGCATGCACACATGGACATACGGTACTGTAAGCGAATTGACAGCTAGACTCCAGTAGTTTACAGTTATAGACTGCATAAAGAATAAAACGCACAATAAAACACACATATGTGCACAAAGGGTACAAGACACTTCTGCTCAGTACTGATGAAGCTGCAAAGGGTTTGACGAAGCAGCTAAATGGCACATTTGTTATGTTAAAAAGCCATTAATACGGGACAAATGTTAATAAGCATCAAATCAACAAGCCTGTGAGGCCACTGGCAGATTTTAGGTATGTTACCTAAATGCTCCCGGCTCAACAAGTGAGGTATGTTCAACGCTATTAAAAAATCGTGATTGCCCTTGCAACTAAAAACAAACTTATACTAAATCTTTGAGTGTTTTTGATAATATGAATTGAAAGAATAGTGCAGTATTGTTAAAGAGACAGAAAGATGGTTGTTCTGCAGTTTTAAATTATGCTAAATTGTGACTCTGACGTAGAATTAATGAATTTCATTTTGTCACTAAATTGACACTTAATTTTGTTTAAATTCAGATTGCCCTTAATTTGGAACAACAACCGCGGGGATTGGAACCGGTTCGTGTGCCAACATGCATGGATGTGCTTCTGTGACTCACGCCGAGTGTGGTGCTCTGTCTGTTGTAGCCTGCGAAGTGCAGGATGCTCTCTGTGGCCATGGCGAGCCCAGTGTGCTGGGACAGTCCCGACACCCAGTTCTGGTGCTTGTTCAGGTACTCCTTCATTCAGATAAGAACGTCCAGGAAGAGGAAAAAGGATGGAGAAGGAAAAACACTTTGAAGACTTTTTTTGCTTTCAGTAAAAACCTGCTTTTGTGAGGTTTTTAAAAGGAAGAGGTAATGAATGTACTACTTTAATTCAGTCTGTGCTGACCATCTCTTAAACATGAAGGTGAAGGAACTGACCTGTAGGTGGGACTTTGTGACTGAAGGGGCCCATTTCATCGCCTCTTTCAGGATTTCACCACAACGAGCAGCAAAGTCCTTTACAATGCTCTAAGGGGCGATACAGAAATAACATTACTTCATGGAAAACAGGATGGTTAGACGTTCAGTTTTAGTGAAATATAAATGATAAAATTAAGCCTTTTATCATATTAAGTAGCTAATAAATAGATCCTGTTATCCACAAGGCTACTTTAAAACCAATACGGTGCTGCCCTCTAGTGGCCATACGTGTAATAACAATCCAAGCTCACCTCTCGGGCTTCGTATGTGTCAGGAACAGTGATCCTGTACGGGGTGTCTGGGATGTCATAGTAAGGCTGATCCTTGTGAATGTCCTGAACAAACAGAGGCGAAATTTACCGCAACAGAAATGTACTGTTGCACCTATTTAATGTTATTTGGTCAGCTCAAACAGGAATCATTCAAACTCTGTTCCATCACAAATTACTTCTCTGTATTATCTCGCTCATTAAAGAGATTCAAACCCGACGCTGCGTCTGAAACTTACAGCGCTTAGTGACAGAGAGAGCGTCTGCAAAATATCCAGCATGGTCTTCAGCACACGACCGCTCCAGAGCAGATGTGGGAATCTGGTTTAGGTAGAGAGACATTAAAGTACAAAGCGATGAACAAAACGAAAGCAGGCAAGTTGATTGAGTGACTACTACTCACGTCTCTGCCAAACCAGAGAGGTATTTGTCTGCCACTCTGCGGATCCTCTTGTGGGTGTGATTAAAGTTGATCAACAAGAACTGGGCATGTCGCTCCAGTTCCTCCTCGTGCTCTTTAGTCTTTGGCTGAAAACAGTGGAAATACACAGATTTTTATCCAGTGCTAATAGAGAATAAAATCTGTGATAAAATAAAACCTTGCAACCACGCTGCCTACCTTCTCAGCCATCATCTGCAGGAAGACATCAAACACTTTGTCGCCAACACAAATAATGCACTGCATCATGCCTGCGGAGGTAAAAGGGAATTTGAGAAAACGAACGACCAACAACAGATACATCAGCTAGCCAAAGGGGTTAAAGGCACAAAGCCCTCACCAGATTTGTCTTTCTGGATGGCTTTGTCCTCAAAGTACCGAAACATGACCTGGAACCTGTCGGGATCGTTGGAACGCAGCATCCTGAGAGAGGACAAGATAAAGAGCTATAATACAGTACTGCACACTCTGGCCTCGCTATGTTAAGGAATCCGTGGAGACAAAAGATGAGACGTTTAAGCTGCTTTGCAATGGCAATAGAGCTGACCTCATGTATTCTAATCGGTAGACGGAGAGCAGGTAGGTGGACATGGCGAAGTCCAGCTTGTTAATGAGGGCAGATCCTTCAGGAGGTGGGTCGAGGAGGTTGCTAATCGTCGCTCGTAGTTCACTCAACTCGGCCTGGAGGACAGAAATTGAAAGCGTATTTTAAGACGTCTTTTAGCTACTGAGAGAAAAAAAATGCTTGATTTTGAACACTGTACCGGTGTCACTGTGTCATTTTTCAGAGCTGAGTTGTACTGCAGTTCAGAGCGAAGAGGTTCTCCGCTGGGGAACGTGAGAAGAGGAGATTTGGTGGCAATCTCGCAAACGCCTTCGTACCACTCCTCTGGCCAAAGACCTGAAAGAACGAAAGACAAATCCAGAAAGTCAGCAACACACTGGAGCATCAATAATCTCTGTTTTTAACGGTTTATGACTAAACACTCCTACGGATGTCTTTGGTTGTATTGGGGTATTTAATAATGATCGAAGACGCCCAAAATCTATCTTTATCTTACTTAAAAATGCAATATTTTGTTCTCCAACCTCAGTGTGACGGCTACATAATCACCACATTATCGCAACGTCTAACTCTTCTAACACTTCTTGGCCTGAGCAAACAAGTCTGAGGAGTATAAGCAGTGTACAACTTAACATTTCAAAACATCCACACTGAAATGGTTGGAGGTCTTGGAGTTTGGGGGGATGCTACCGGCCACTACACCAAACCTTTAAACATCACCTCCCATTCTTACAGTGCAAAGGTGAAGAGCTTTCCACTGAAATGATTTAATACTCGCTCACCTGATCCCTCCACGGCAAAACCCATGACCACCGAGTACAGCCAGAAGTCTCTGAACAGCTTCTGGAGGCGGGGCTTGGCCTCTTTGATTGGCGGCAGGCGTCTGGTCAGCTGTGAAAAATGAACAAGAGAACGATGAATAACGTGGAGCCATTAATGCTGCACGACGCACATGATCACACTCAGGAAGCAATTAGAAAGCCATAATGTTCATTCCTTGAATACAAATAGCACTTTTTAGCAACAGCACACAACAATAACAATAAATCAAAATAAATAGTAAATTAAACAAGCAGCTGTTACCAAACTACTAACTCTCTAATTGATCATTAACGCTACATTTTCTTCACAGAGGAGATGAATTGTGAAGAGTTAAAGAGTTCTGGTCTGTCACAGGACGTTTTGCTCTGTTTGATCTGGTCTATTTGTTCAAGAGAAGCCCACATCAAAGTTCAGTTTTGTATTCAATGCTTTGCTCTTAGTCCTACAAACAGACGAAACGCAGCACTTCCCACCAGCACACAGCGAAGGTAAGACGTTCTACAGAACACTGCAAAAGGAACTTCATATTAAAACTTTTTGTATTTTTAAATACTAAAGACATCTTTTACTAAAACATGATTTAACCAAATCTACCAAACACTGATCAGATCGTTGACTAAGCTGTGCTAAACGTCTGCCTCAGCTCTCAGGATGTGGGTCATCACTGTCATCTCCGTGGCCTGTCTGCTGGCCAGTCCATCTCTGGCTGGAGTCAAAGACCTCAGCCTTCACTTCACTGACCCTCAACCGGACCCCCGAGGCTTCGAAACGGGTGGTGCGGTGGATATAGACGCCATTCCCCTGGAGTTCCACAAGGAAAACACCGTCACCAATGACCTGGTCTTCGATGGCTTTGAGGATGAAGATTATATTGATTTTGATAAGATCCTGGCTGCAGGCAGTGATGACTACATGTGAGTTTAAGCGATTTTTTACTTCCGATAGATTATCTAAGTCTAAATGTAAAGAAAAGAATTGAAGGTGCAAAGTAATGGAGTAAAAAATGCTCATATATGCTAGTTAAGCAAGACAGGTTTAACATTTGTAGCTTGCATTGGTGATATTTGTCTTACTAGTGTTGGGTATCTGCACATCTTACTGTACATATATCTGCCATATATAGGACCCACATAAACAGATGCAGCTATTAGGAAATGTGTGTGATGTTTAATAACTAAATACAAACTGTTTCTAAAGACTGTTTCTGCTGCTGAATGGTTAGACGATGACTTTTGTGAATGTTTTCCAGCGAGGGCGATGAGATCGACGACATTGCCACACCAGCCCCAGACATCGACATCTTCGCCGAACCCTCGGACCCGAAGATCCGCCGCGCCAGACTCCTGCGCCTCTTCCACGGTCGCTCCCGCCTCCAACGCCTCAACGTCGTGAATTCCCATTTCGGCTTCAACCTCTACCGAAGCCTTCGAAATGACGTCAACCAGACTGACAACATCCTGCTGGCGCCCGCTGGGATCTCCATCGCCATGGGGATGATGGCCTTAGGGGCCGGATCTGGAACTCACGATCAGATCTACAAAGCGCTGGGATTCGCCGAGTTCGTCAACGCCAGCCATCACTACGACAACACGACGGTGCACAAGCTGTTCAGGAAGCTGACACACAGGCTCTTCAGGAGGAACTTTGGTTACACGCTTCGCTCGGTGAACGACGTTTACGTCAAGAAGGACGTCTCGGTGAAGGACACCTTCCGTGCGGAGACGAAGGCTTATTATTTTGCAGAGCCGCAGTCGGTGGACTTCAGAGATCCGGCTTTTCTGAACAAGGCCAACCGTCGCATTCAGAAGCTGACCAAAGGGCTGATCAGGGAACCGCTCAAGAGCGTGGATCCAAACATGGTGCTGATGCTGCTCAACTATCTGTACTTCAAAGGTGAGTGGAAAAAACAGGACACAGTGTTCTCCATCTTCAACCAGCAGCATCAATATAACTCTGTTTCTTTGTACAAACAGGTACATGGGAGCAGAAATTCCCAAAAGAAATGACTCACTATCGCAACTTCCGAGTTAATGAAAAGACAAACGTACGCGTGCCAATGATGAGCAACAAGGGGAACTATCTGGCTGCTGCCGACCATGAACTAGACTGTGACGTCCTGCAGGTGGGTGGCCGTACACTGTTTAATCAACAGGAATTTCCTGACAAACACACATATCCCTCACTGAGCTAATAACAATGATGAAAATGTGTTTCCAGCTCCCGTACACCGGAAACATCAGCATGCTCATCGCCCTGCCCAGGAAGATCACCGGCATGAGGACTTTGGAGCAGGACATCTCACCCACCGTTGTCAGCAAGTGGCTCAAAAACATGACAAACAGGTCAGCAGCATTACAACTAATGAGTAGCTGAGAAAGCACGCTGTAGAAGACATGTTGTCCCTGAAAGCTTATAGCTGATTGTAGAGATGACGACAATGTTTAGTGATGATTCAGAGGTTACACCATCAGGAAACGATTCTGTTCCTCCCTTCAGGACTCGTGAGATTGTGCTACCTCGGTTTAAACTGGAGCAAAACTACGACTTGATTGAAAATCTGAAGGAGATGGGGCTCACTGACATGTTCAAGGAGACTGGAGATTTCACTGGAATGACCTCCGAAAAGGTTTCCATGAACTGGGTGAGTAAGACAAAACAAAAGTCTGAGAGACATTCAATCGCCCGGACTCAACTTCACTCCCTACTATTTCAAAATGATGGATATATTATGATCTCCCTCTGCAGCTGAAGCACCAGGGAACCATCACCGTGAACGAGGAGGGGACAGAAGCTGCTGCTCTGACCCAGGTGGGCTTCATGCCGCTCTCCTCTCAGATTCGCTTCACCGTGGACCATCCTTTCCTCTTCCTGATCTACGAGCACCGCACAAACTGCCTCGTGTTCATGGGCCGGGTGGCCAATCCCTCACAGACCTAAATAAAAGCCCCGCTAAAAAGTTAAATGTAGTCTCTTACTGAGCATTTACACTTTTCCGTCTGTCTGATTGACTCAACGGATGTCTGTTATCTGTCTGTTAATGTTTCAACTTTTGCAATGAGGCTAGAAAAAAAGAAAAAAAACGGACATTAGATAATTTACATACATTATTGTTGTTACTTAAATGTCGCACTGGAATGCTTTCACAAAGAAAATGTATAAAAAACACAACAAATGGGATTATAAAATAAGAAAAAAGCATTAAACTAAAACAATTTTCTGTTAATAAAGCTTGTTAGAGGGATAGACTCAAGCCACCCGTGACCCTAATGAGGATTAAGCGGTGTATAGATAATGGATGGATGGAAGCTTGTTAGATTGCATTGGTTTTTTTTAAAAGGTACATTTAAAAAGAGAGCATGTTACCTTATTACTATGCCAACACAATAAACAAATCCTAATTGGTACACACTTGTTGTGGCTCTATTTATAATGTGGCATATAAAGTGAAAGCATCGTTTTACTGTCGGCTGAAAACGTGTTTAAAAATTAAACGGAAAACCGCAAAAGCATTCAGCAGTCATCTGCTACCAACAGAGTACTGCGGCTCACTGGGTAAATATTTGTTCATAGAGTTAAAACCTAACTAACACACTGGATTCATCTGTAAACACTCAAATATTCATGCAGATTGTGCAGCTGTGCTCTGTGGGAGGGTTTTTAACATCAATCCTCGCAGCAAATGACTTTAAACCGTCTCTACAGTACTCACCACAGCAATCACTGGAATAAGGACTCCAAGATTTCCGGCGCTGCTTGATGCCTGGGGAGATACGGAGCCATTAGCAATTTACCAGCGTGACTGTTATCAGTTTCCTGTTGTGCTTCGATGTGTGTACGCGTGGAGGCACGTACCTTCAGCGCCGGGCCCTTGTCGGAGGCCCTCTCGCTGGCTCGCTTTCCTTCCAGGCCCAGTTGGACAAACAGTTCTAAGAGGTTCACCATCAGTTCGTCCACCAGCTGCTCCCCCTGCAGGTTGGCTGCAATGTTGGCCAAAGCGTTTATCACTGCCAGAGAGCAGTGCCTTGTGGGGGAGGAAGAGAAAATAGATGGAGGGAACAGATAAGTACGTACCAGGAATCAAATACAACTGAAGTCTCCAGGAATCTACGTTACTATCAAGGTCTACTGCTCACAATTCAGTTCAATTACTAACACTCATACCACTACACTGTTGGTATTAACAGCATAAAAGCAGATGTTGACTGAGGGGAAACATCTGGGGCTGAAAAATTAACCCAAAACTGAGTCAATCCCTTTTCACTTGCATGCTAAAATGTCCAGTTTTACAGCAGTAACTAACTGAGTTTACAACCTGGTGCACAAACACTTTTGGTCTCCCTGCTCATGATAACTGTGCCCGACGTTATTTTTAATTAAAAACCTGTTTACATTGTATAAAGGCCTAAAATCATTCAGAGTTAAGTGTGTGGCAGCTTATATTGACAGATAAGTAGCGTCACAGGACAGTCTGTGGCCCAGAGACGCTCACTCAGCTCTTTGCTCATTTCTGGATTAGTCAGGAGCTATGAGGAGTCAAGCCACCACATGGCTCTACACAGAGCTTCAAAACTGTTCTTCATGAAGGTTTTGAGCATCTCTATATAAAAACTATGATGCTGACCTGTAACCGTGATCCCTGTAGTCTTTGGTGGCTGAATAGACCACTGAACTGGCTTTCACGCTGATCTGCTGGAACAGATTCCACACCTCCTGATAGATGTATTGCTGCAAGACAGAAAAGGAGGAACAATGAGTACAACTGCAGGCACCATCAGGAAAAACTTAAGATAAAAAGATGCTGCTTAGATTTAGAAAAACATTACTAGGGATAAATATGAGCAAATGTAAGGACCGAGTGAGGCTAACTGTCAGTATTTGCCAACATATAGTCACATCTATTTTCAGCCCTTTGTTAACTGTAGCCTTTCACACTGTGGGTTGACTAGCTGTCAAAAACACCCAATTACACTCCAGTGGTGAGTCAACTGCAATCTATTCTTATTGCACAGTGTACTGAGCAAATAAACACCAGTCAGCAGGTTTACAGTAATTACAGTGTGTCAGCCCCTCAGGCAGAAGGAACGAGGGGCTGCTACTTAAGCAGCACTCGGTCCATCATAGGTGCTGTGAACAAACAATCTGCAATATTTCTCCATCTATGCTAATAGTTTACACCCTTTAACTATAACGGAGGCCACTTGCTTTACAAACATGCCATCGTTGCGACTCACATTTCCTGTGATGACCATACAGCCGAGCTGGTCTATGATGAGAACATCGAGCTGCGACGGAGGCTGGCAGAACTTCTGCTGAAGGATTTGTAGGATGTGCTCCATGACTTTGGGAGTGTCTCTCAGAGCGACTGCGATGTGGCCCAGTGCTCGAATGGTGTGATCTGGAATTAGATGGGCTTCCCTGGCGGAAAGACAAGTTGTATTTTTAAAGCTGTTCATCCGTGTCAAGGACTTGAAAGCGATCTGGGTGACTAAAAGTCCCAACGTATTTTTGTTCCAACTGGAAATGTGGCTCACTTGTCGTTCTCCTGTGAAATGTACAGACGGTTGGAGAGACTGGCCAGAAAGGCTTCGACTATCACGTGGTCCATCGTCAAACCAGCTTTCAGACATCTGGGAGAGAGGAAGCACGCAGAGATGAAAACAGAACATCTCAATAAGAATAATTTTTTTTTAAATCACAGCTGTTCCAGGTGTGTTTGTATCTGACCTGCATATGTTGTCAATGGAAATGTCTCGGAGCTGCTCGTACATGGAGGGCTGGTCTTTCCTGTTCGACAGTATGTTGAAGGTGGACTGAGAATGCTCGTTAGTCACGTTTATCCTAATTTCCCCAGTTCCTTAAAAAAGACAACGGCACAAAGACAGAAGCATGAGTTCAAACAGAACACACTGTAAACCGCTGCATAATATAAGATCCTACACAGAATAAAAGTTCAGAGTGTGGTGCCAAATCTAAAGAGCATGTTTTAACAATTGATCTATGAATAGGCAGATCTCCCTGGAGCACAGCGCAGAAAAATCGGTAACATGAATTGCATTTCCAATTGACCGTGTCTGCAGCTGCTCGTAAATGAACAGCGATCAGATCAATGATGGATGAGAGCCGGATGTGACAATGACACTCTTATTGATGCGTCTTCGTTATGGTATCATCGGCTGCAGCAGCACTCTTGTCCCGTTTACCTCTGGCTCTGGTCATTTGTGCTGGATTTGCTGTAAACACTGTTTGGTTTTGGGGATGTTTTTTGGTTTTAAAGACGTGAAATATCAAGTGATTTAAGTATTTGGATTGATTTCAACCATCTATAGCCAGTTGTAGATTAATTCCTCTGAGTGTCACACTATTTTTAAGCAGTAGAGGCAGGTTTATGTCAGCGGAGGTACAGAAACTGGTGCTGCTATCAATCAGAAATAAACACTCTTTCTGTGAGGACTAAAAGCAAATCTTCAAATTAGACATCAGACAAAGTGTGTCACATGACATGTACTTGCAAAATACCCTAAAAAAATTATTTATGATGTATTTTAGAATAAAATCCTACATTTTACTAAATATTAGAGTGTTGAGACTCAGTTCAGGGGTCGATTTGAAGTAATTGAAGTATAAATATATGTACCTGTGCTGTACTGGTTGTGATACTTGTAGAGTTTTACAAGAACAGGGGAAGGAACCACCAGGAAATCCCTGAGAGAGGTTGTGGCAGAGTGAGCAACTACTGGAAACCTCTCACACAGACGGCCCAGGCCCTGAGACGTAAAAGAAGAATGTTTAAATTAATGTCAAATAAAAAGAAGGAAATAACAACTTGAATTACAGGCCTGTGCAACATTTAACTTGTATTTGTGCAGATATTTGTATTTTACCTGTAGGCAACAGATGAGCAGGGGCATATGAGCAATGATGACTTTGCTGGAGGTTTTCGACTGCAGCTTCTCCGACAGTTTGGTGCACAAATTCTCAGCTCCTTCATAAAGAAAGGAAAGGTGAGAAGTGACACAACTGGTACAGTAAAACACATCCAGCATCCCCCTGATGATGTCGTCACACCGCGCCGCTCACTCTCTGCTGCAATTGATTACCTTGCTCATCTTTGACGGCCCACACCATGAGGTCCACGCAGGCAGCGTTGGCTTGGCAACGGAGTTTGAGGGGGCTTTGTTCCCCCGGCAACCCCCCCGTGTCATGAAGTACCCGCTGCAGCTCCGACTGACTGCTGCTAAACTGCTCCAGCACAAAGTCGTGCACCTCTCGTACAAACGTCGGCTGCAGGGCTGAGAAACAGTGAGGGAGTATGACAACTTGCCAGAGTAGCTTATGTAATGTTCTGCTACACAGAACCATCACAGGGCTGTTTGGCTTTAAATGCGTAACAAATAATCCATGTGTGATGCTTCACCTTTCATGTAGTAGAGTGTGTCCCGCAGCATTTTGAACACACACACATAGAGAGGGTCACTGAAGGTTTTGTAATAGAGGTTGATTCCAGGATTAGACTTCACAACAAACAGAAGAGACAAGACAAGATTATTTCAATGAGAATAGCTTATATTTAACTTTGCATCAACCATTTACAATTATAGTTCTATAGTTACCTCTGTGACTTCTGTCATGGTGGCGTCCAGAGTTTTCAGAAAAGCTTCAGAAACAAACTTCTTAACCTGTAAACAACAACATGCACGTATAAAGATATATATACATACAGAGGACAGGAAGCTACAGCAGCAGTGTTTCAGTGAATGGGTAGTAGGCTACTGCACCATGCTGAGGAGCTGTCGCAGCAGTTCAACGGGCACCTCCACCTCATTTTCTCCTGCTACCATGTAGAGAGGAGACATTGAGAAACTGGAGCTGACGGTGGAGAAATAGTAGTCGGGGTCCACGGTGCTGCTGTCTGGAAGATAGGCTGCTGTAATCAGAGGGAGCAGAGGACATAAAAAAAACCTTCCTTCAGCTTGGGCAGCATTTCAGTGACATAAAATCAGGATAATGGCTAATCACTGGCCTGTACGCTAATCCACTGAGATTACTGTCACTGGTGACATTAATCTCTGCCTCTTTATTGGATTTCTTCCTGTATGACTGCAGATTATCGGGGCAGAATGATGTCTCAAATAAAGTCATTTTTTGATGCAAAAAGCTGCCGAAGACATTTGTTTTGGAATCAAAGTCAACTGCATATATCTCAGAAATTGGTGCAAATATCTAAGTTTGGAAGCTAACAACAGTCCTATTGCACTGCTAACACTTTAAACAGCCCAACAGAGTTATATGTGATGGCACACGAACACACGCAGACCTTTGAACCAAAGACTCGCTGCTACTTTTAAAATTAGAAACGGTGTCATTCCTGAGCTGCTATATAAAAATTAGACAGGTGCCCATTCACACTTTGAACAGGCAAGGGGGTACCAAGAGGGGTTACTATAGTTTTTCTCTATGCATTACTGCAGTATTACAGTATGTGAGATATGTCTGCAGTTTACCACAACAAACACAGAAAGATGCAAGCACCTCCTTCTGATAAACCCATGCTGAGTCGACAGAATATAGCCTGTGTTTCTTGACATTTACCTTCAAAGTAATGTGGGCCGGGGGCTGTCGGAGAGCAGGGAGAGTGGCCTCCTGGATCCGTACAGATCTATGAGCACATCACAGAACATTCATTTAATCACTGAAACAGTTGTTGAAAATTAGCCTCTCTGAACTCTGAGTATAACAAAATCACAAAATCTTCAAGGAGATCATGGCCCTGCAGTTTAATTCTTCTCTTGACTCCAACCAGCTCTGTCACAACTGACCTGTGCAGAGGAATCCAGGTTGGTCCCGGTGCGTCTGCGCAGAGTGTCACTTTGGCACACGGTGAGCAGCGAGGACGGCAGGATAGAACGAAAGTCATTGAAGGATCTGCGCCGCACGCCCTCCGTTTCCTCCGTGACGCAGCGAGTCTGGGGAAAATCTTTGGGGAACAACTTGGACAACAGCGCTTCGTCTGTGTTGCTGTAGCGGCCGAACGCTCGAGTCATGCCGAGAAGGCTGGGGATGATGTACCTGCACAGGAAGACTGCAGACCAGAGAGCAGCTGTGAAGCTTTTTCATTTCACTGATGTCGTACACGTTGACATCGCATCTGTTTGTGTGTGTACCTTTGTCGTGATTATCAGGTGTTTGGCACATGTCCTGGAAAGCCTGCATGACCTCCATTATAGTGTTTAAGATCTGTTGGGGAAACGGTGAAGCAAGAACTTAGCACTTAGCTGCAATACACTGGAACATATGAATGGCATATTATCACAACATGCTAAGCTTACCTCCTCTCTGGAGTCTGGGTCCCTCTGAGCCACATCTGACAGAAGTGTCACCAGACAGAAGCTGAAGTTTTCTGCAACTGGAAGAAATTCTGGAGAAAATAACACAAACACATTTTGTTAAATGCTACGTAAGTGTGTGCAGCAAGAAAAATAAAGACCAGCAGATTTATGCTGTGTCATGAAATTTTGTGGATGGAAATCAATACTATGCTACCATCTTAAGGCAGCACTAAAAATGGATAAGAATAACAAAAAAACACTACTTAGTTCACTGCTGCCACAAGTAAATGGAAGCAATTGTCCGACAAAAAGCCCCACTATAAGAGGATTGTTCTTACCCTTTCCTTTCTTTCCCGAGCTTTCTTCGATCCATTGGACCCGTGGCAGCCCTCTCAATAGGCTCAGCAAGTAGGAAACAAGTATGTCTTTGTGCTGTCGGAGTAAAGCGAATCATTACACGCCACAGACAAAAGTGCCTGGCAGCACTTTTTGTTGGCTAACAGGCGCTGATAAATCAAGATTATGAGGTATTGGCTATTCTGACACAGTCCAGGCGAGGTGAAAGAACATATATCACTACTTTAAACACTGAAAAATGATGCTATCGTCTCTTCGCAGCCAATTTGGCAGCAGAGCTTTCCACGCTGCGTCTCGCTGTGATGAGGTTAGAGGCTTACGTGGCCAATTGCATGTCTAATCGCCGGCTTAATCAGATTATGGGAATAAGCTTATCACGCTGATATATGTGCAGAGGCTGGTAGTGAGAGGAACACTATAATAATATTATCCATGTATAAAATCTGAGCAATATTTTGACCATAAATCCACTATATCATCCATTAGCTGCCTAAAATTAAATGCAACCACTGTGTTAAAAATATTTTAAAGAACCAGCACCCACCTGTAAACCAGACTCCACCAGAAACACAGCCAGAGCAATGACAGCATCTCTGCGACGCACATCCAAAGTAAACACACCGCGGGCTTCTACGGGACACATACATTGCAGCTTCTGGACCTAAAACAGAACAAATACAATCATAAATGTAGTTTAAAAATGTATTAAAATGCTTAAAGATGATATGCACACAGTAATCAGGCCACTTGGTTAACTCAAGAGGAGATTCAGGAGTTTTTATCTGTCACATGTAAAGTGTCTCTTCTACAACAAGACAAGATAAAAACATTCCCAAAAAATAGAAAACAATGAAAGAGATGGTGACACTGCTGTATCTGTCTTTATGTAGTTGGACCATTAGATTTTTATTTTCTAGTGTTTTTTTCCCTCAATCTGCTGTAAAAATCACAGCCCTCTCTACTGAAATATCATCTTTACCAGACTCTTACTGCACGTTTTCATGCACACTTGATGATTTTTTTTGCGCATACACTTCCTACTCCTCTGCATTCTGCTGCTATCTTATCTGTTTTATTTCAGCCCTTGGGATCAATAGACTGCATGCTGCTATCAAGGTGGGAACCAAGCTGTGCTGTCACTGCCCACAATAACAAAGGTAGCAGGACGCAGGTATTTATGACGTTTGATTTAGTGCTGTGGTGAACATGTAACCCATGTACGTCATAAAACACCAGCTCTTACTGGCAGTGTATTGATCGTTGCCTCGATATGCTCTCGTGTTTTTCTTATACCACCACATTTGAGTATCACTTTCCATTAAACTCTCCCTGTGTTAGACCTGATCATCCATCCTGCACTTGCAACAGGTTAGTGACGGAGAACAGAGCACACAGTGAACTCCTGTCCCCGTAAACCTGTTTGACTGCAGTGCTCATCAGCCGGACTGCTCTGCCTGATGCGGTAACGAGCAGCTCGGAAGCAGCGACGCCACTTTCTCCTGCATCGCTTCCTTCTTCTGCTGCTGCTGCTGCTTCTCCCACAGACCAAACACCGCCGCGAACACCCCGCGTTAGTGATTCCCAACTCCTGACGCACACACAGCTGTCACATATTAGCTCTGCTGTCACGTCCGTGGTCACAATAAACCACCGCCTGTGCGGAAGCGGAGCTACACCCTGAACAACACTGCTGCTGCTGCTGCTTAACAACATTAGCTAATTAATACACATTCTGTCTTATCGGAGCTCACTCGGGTTTTGTTTTGTTTTGTTTTTTTTGCTCACCTTTTCGACCGGGGCGGGACGGTGGGCAGCTAAAGAGCGGGCCAGCGACAGGACTGTGTTGAAATAAAACCCTCTCGTACCACCTCCCATTACAGACATGTTTACCCCCTACATCAAACCAGCGCAATTCAGCGAGCGCAGAAACAGGCGAGCAGCGGCGGCCAGCGCTGGGAAAGCCGCAGTACGGCAACGCGAAGGGGACAATCCTCACTGCGACTCGTAGTCGGGTCAAAACAAACATAAACAAGTGTGTTGGGTGTAATTATTTAAATACTGCAGTTACTATAGTGATTGATAAACGAGGCATAGTGTCGCTTGGTGTCATATTTAAGTGATTTGCGATATAAAACACGTCAGTATGCGTTTTTGTTGCGCACGATGAGCCGCTCGGACAGCGCGAGGCAACGTCACCAGATGTGACAGGAAGTGTTGAGTTGCTAACAGTCAGCTGATACAGCAACAACAGAGCGTTCACGGCAGCGACGGTCAAAGGTTTGTCTGTTAAGTTGATCGTTTCCTTGTTTTGTTTTTTATAATCTCATTTAGACGTTACTTATTCTACGAGAAGAGATGTTCATGTTGACACCGCGCCCGACGTCTGGTTGTGCTAATTATGTTAGCTAGTAGCTTGTGTTGACAAGCTAGCGGGTGGCTAACTAGCTAACACCCCATAGTTACACAAAGCATAGAAAAAGCATTAATTATTTTCTGTTTCTATGTTATGGCAGCTGTTTTGGCAGATGATTGTTATGGAACATTTTTAATAAGGCCTTTATTCATCACTTCAAACTTGTTTTGTTGAGTGAAAACTGTAGCTAGCTCGAGCTAACATCCAGGAGCTAGCTTTAGTTTCATTTATCTTGTGAAATACTATTATTTGTTACATCAGCGTGTCAATGAGTCATTCATATCCTTTACAAAAGTGTTTATTATGGGGTTCCAACTCAGCAATATCATTAGGATTTGTATATTATGTAGTATGTATTCTTTATCGTTTTATACATGTTCTGTCTTAATGATGTGTATATTTTGACACGTCATAGTATTTGTCCTGTATTAGTCTTGGCAGGAAAACAATTTATTCTCACCTTCCACTTTGTGCTTAGAGTTTGGATGACAAACAACCTGACGTAACTGGATTCATTGTTAGCTGTGTGGTTTATAAAATTTCAGACGATTATGAAAAACGTCAATCGATGTTTCCCCAAACCAAGATGACATCATCAGATGTCATGTACTCAGTTTACTTTCATAAAGCAATCAAGAAAAAAGAAAATATTCACATTTAGGAAGCTGGAATCAGAGACTTTTACTTTTTTTTCTTTAAAAATTATTCAAACAAATTAATCAAGATGCACTGTTCGCACACTAATAGTTAAATTTTGGTCCAACAAGATTTTGTTTTACTTTCAACAATGTCAAAGTCCCAATTTTACAACGTTTTACAAAAAGACGTCTTGATGGTGTGTGTGAAGGCTCATTCTTGACCTCAGCCTGTCATGAGACATGGTTGGAATCTCTGAAAAATGTTGGCAGTTGAGATTATTTTGTGACAACACTGTGCGTTTGCTTCTCAGATGGCCTACCCTAAGTCCCACAACCCGTTTGCTGATGATGACGATGAGGAAGACTTTAAGCCTAAAAGCAGGGGGTTCGATGACGATGATGGGTTGACCGACGCAGAGCGGAGGCAGAGGTATCTGCAGCAGGAAGTGATGCGCACAGCTCAGTCGGCTGTGGACAGCAGTCATCGTTCTCTCAGGCTTATCTATGAATCTGAGAAGATGGGCGTGGACACTGCAGAGGTATGTTACGCTAAACAGGTTTACCAAAACACAACAGCACTTTCTTAAAGGTCCCTTTGACACGTGTCCCTCTGTCTCTGTTTGTGTGTGTAGGAGCTGACGCGACAGGGTGAGGTTTTGAGGAGGACAGACAAGATGCTGGACGGCATGGATCAGGACCTGAAGACCAGCCAGCAGCACATTACCAGTATCAAGAGCGTGTGGGGTGGCATCGTCAATTACTTCAAGGGAAAGCCAGAGATAAAGCCACCGCCTGAGCAACCAAAGCCCTACCAGGGCAATGACAGGTACAGTTCTGTTCTTTATTAATGATTAATTAATGGGGTGTGGCAGCTATCATCCATTTAAGAAAAATCTAATGTTGCTGTACTTTTGTTTGGTATGCATCACATCTCTGTATACGAATCAGCAATTTCTGGTTGTATTATAAACTCCCTAACATGTTAAGAATTAGTTACTGAAGAAATACAACCATTGTGGCTGCTTTGCAGAGCATTTGAACTGCATTTTATATCATTTTAACGCCGTGAAATATGTAATAACCTTTTGAGGATTTTAAGCCAGAATAAAATAGGAGTTTGAAGATTTGTCGATATACCTGTGAAAACAATAAAAATTCCAGCATAGAAGACGAATTAATTAATATTCAGATTGAAGTGTCTGAACTTACACGACCTCTTCTAACTAAATAAAACACTCCTGCACCTGTTTGACCATCACAGCTACAAAAATCATATAGTTTTTGGACAAGACACTCCATCATCCTTCTCTACTTCACATTAAATATGTATTAATGAACCAACTGTCATTCTCTGTTTCCCTGCTAAAAATGAAAACGTTGATGGCATGTTTTATAACTGTTGAGTTTACTGACCTAAAAATCACAACAAAAGTACATAAAACAGCTTCATGATGTCCCATATGCAATACAACCCATCATCATGTAAAGGTATCAGGTTCACATCACGTACATACAACATCTATGTATGCATTAACAAATTATTGTTTGAGTATGGTGTGCTGCTTCTTCTAGAAACTTTAATCAAAACACGTTAGATGAAATAACTTCAAGTAAAAATGTGTCTTTATTATTTTTGTCATTAAATCCCCTGAATAATGCTTCTCTGACCTCCTCAGACTACAGAGTGCCTTATCCAGCAGCAGAGAACATGAGGACAAGTACCAAGCCAGCCACCCCAACCTAAGACGGCTGGATACAGGAGGTAAGAGGTTTCAGAAGAACCTCGGCTTAACCTGACCGTAAACCAAAACTGGCTGCCAACATTTCTGATTTCACTGTTCCAGGATTTGGAGCTTCTGCGTCGATAGATGACGGCCCATCCAGACAGAATGGATACTCTCAGAACAGACACCTGAAGGAGGCCCACCACACCCTGGACAAAAATCTGGGTAAAAGTCTTACTTGTGTTTTCATTATCTTTTAATTGTCTTACTTGATGACAGTACAGTCTTATGTAATGCGGTGAGAGGTGAGATAAACACCTGATATTGGTGAAATTATTGCTTTTTTTTGTTCTGAAATGTAATATAATTAATCAATTTTCAAATGTACAACCACAAAATATACATTTATTATATATTAACAAAAATAAAGCTTTAACAGTTTAACTAAAGTTGGATATCGTTTGTGAATGACAGATGAAATGTCAGATGGCTTGAGACGACTGAAGAACCTTGGAATTGGTCTCCAGGCTGAGATCGAGGACCAGGACGACTCCATTGATTCTCTGCTGAACAAAGTCGACAAGATGGATCTCAAAATCCACAACACGAACCAGCAGATCAAGAACCTCAAATAACACGAACACTCGGACTCGCCTTATGTAGACACAAACCGGTCATCCTCTCACTCGGTCCTCCATCTTCGCCTCTGTTGAATAAACTCCAGGCTTTTATTTAGTTCTTTTAAAGGGTTCTTCCGCCTCAAAACAGATTTTTTTTTTTCTTGTTTTGAAGGAAAGACTGGTTTGAATTATTTCAATGCAATGGGTCGTCTTTATCCGTGTATGATCTGTTTGTTTTCAAGCTCCGCTGCATTTCTGTTTCAATGTCGTCATTTGAATTTTCATCGGTTTTCCTCAATAGCCAAAGATTTATGATTGGCTCCGAAGTTGTTACTATTCAAGCAAAATATTTTGACGTGTAAGAGAGAATTTTTGAATTGATTTATGATTCACTAAATAGACAAATACTTGATTTTTTTTGGTGCGTATAATTCATTTGTCAGTGCTAACTGTGATCCCCGGACCTGCCATGACATACACTATGTACAAAGCCACAAGCAAGCAGCCGGCCGAGCTAAAGTCACTTCTGCCTTACGTGTAACGTGTGTAGAATAGCTTTTGGATCTGTGCCACGGTTCTGTCTCCACTGGCACAAACTCACCACGAGATGCTTCTTCTCTTTATTTTATTGTCTAAATCGTTGTTTGTACTGTGGCCACATTCTTCAGCGCTATCTCTAGCTTTATGTAAATTGTTTATATCGGAAAGTATTGTACTCAATGCTGCACAGTGGGCCTGAGTGGATTATTGTACACCATAAATAATGTGAACAAGCTATAAAAATGAAGAGCTGAGTGAAGATCTCGTTGTTCTGATTATTAAAGCTGTTATATCTCTTATAAACACTTACATTTTTAGATTAATTAAAAAAAAAAGAGAATGTTTTTCCACCAAGTTGATGAAAAATAAGAAAATACAAGAGCAGTGTCCATGTGTTGTAATCACAATAAAGCACTTGTGAGGGAAGTTCCAGGTGTTCTGTGAAATAGTTCTGGTAAAAGTGGAGCAGGACAGCAAAAGCACCACAAGGTGGCGCCATAATCAAGGGTGGAATTTGCTTGAGCTTCTGCAGAAACATGCGACTGTTAAGCATTCAGTAGTGTTCGTGTTAACTTACTGTCTATATGTGGTGACAGAGCAGGAGGAGGATATCTGTAGATGGAAACGGAGCAGAAACTATTAAAACTGCACTTGTTTTCCTCAAACTTAGGATCAAAACACTGTTGAGTAAATAGAGTTTGTGCTCTTTTTTTTACTGCAGTTACACTAGAAGTCTTGAAATACTTTTCAATCATTTCTGAGGACGTGTGTGTGTGTTTACTGTAGTGGCTCGGTTGCGTAAAAATCGGTGTTTGCTGTGCGTGGCTCAGGTCCTCGTGTCGAGGTGTCCATTCATTATCATTCCTCTGTGTTGGACCAGCTGCTCCTGCAGAGCTAACAAGCATTCATTAGGATGACTTGCTAATTACAGTTCACGCTTCCCAAAACACATATCAGCTATTGGGGCGACGTCGAGGTGGAAGATGGGGGTACCGGCTACTCAGGGCCTCTAGCTGATGGAGGCCTCTGCATTTTTGTGATGCCTCGTGTGTGACTCTTCCTGTTGCACATGTGGTGGACACAGACAAACAAGTAAACAAGGTAGATGGAGCACAAAGTGTCAGGTAGCTCAGTAAGAACAGAGGAAATCGAGGAGGTTTCAGGAGACAAACCACAGGAATTAATTGAACTTTCTTGCCTTGTTCCAACTTTTGGGTCAGAAAAGCTGCCACATGTTTCTCAAAGTTTGACTTTTTGGGACCTGTTTCAGTGTTGTTCTCTTAGCAACATCAAGTGTGAAGCCAGTGTGATGATATGAGACAGTCCGACTGCGGCTACAGATAAATATGCTGAAGAAGGGACCTGAGGTCGAGGTGGCACCGCGCATCCACCGACGCCACCGATAAACGGAAGTCACCTCTGGGTTCTTTCCCTTCACGCCATACACGGGGGCCGGGAGGGCTTTGAACAGCTGTCTTGTCAAAAGCAAACAGTGGCCGTGCTGTGACAAAAGCCGCCAGTGCTGGAATGCCCCCCTTTTCAGCGGCCGTAATCCCAGAACACACTGCTGTCGGAGCCCATCAGGCACTGGGCCAGAGACGGGCCTTCCTGCCCTTTGGAAAGCGGGTTAGCGGCAGAGGCAGAGCAGCGCAGGGGATGGACTGTCAGGCTGACAACACTCTATTGCCACTGTTGTAGTAAGAGAAAATAAAGAGTTGTGCTGACGAAGGGGAGTTTGGTCGAGAGCTGGGGGAGAGGAAGGAGGGAGGAGTGCGGCCGGAGAGATTAATGGAGGAGGTGAAGTTCAAGTGCCTCTGAGATGAAACGTATAAAAGTAGCCATGTGTGAATCGCTCCAGAGGGACTCGTTTTCAGGTGTTGACTTGCAGGATCTCACTTTGTCCAAAACCCCTTCAGACATGCTTGTTAGTGCTATTGATAATTCTAATACTACTGAATACACAGGAGCAGAAATGCACTTAATTCATGAGCAACCTAAGCCTTTCTAGGTAAAGTTTACAACCTCAAATGCCTCAACTTTAAAAATAAAACAGATGCATCAATAGTTTTGCAAAAAGAAGTAAGATATGTAGAAAACGAAGAAGCATCTGGCACTGGGCTTTAATTGGTATAATTTGCGTGACATGTGGTTGGCAAACGCGTAGAAAACTGTCAGCGATGATAAGTAGCGTTACCATTACAAACACAAAGAATTACAACTGTTCAGGCTGAAGGTTAAGGTTCAAACGCCCCCTCTTCCATGTTCAGTGAACCGGTCCATACATCACGCTAAGGAGAAGGTAAACAGGCGTTCCAATTTGGCAAAAACCAGAACAAACGCCGGTGAGAAGATGCACTTACACGTGATGTACGCGCTCCGCTTGTCTCGGGCCTTGTGTTAAGTCTGTCCATACATCTTCTTCTCTGGCACTTACATCACAAAAACAAAACCCCAAATTGGAGGAGCACGTAGCTGAAAAACATGATTATACACATTAGTTGTCATTTCGCTTGCCGTCATCCCATTAACGCCCCCTGGGGCAAAAAAAAAAAACATGTCAAGAATGCAACACAAAAATGTTAATGGCCACATGTTTGCATTATGTTACATATGTTCTTTACTTTTAACTATGAAAAGCTGCGTGTAAATACTGGTCAAGGCGAGGAATGTGTGCTGAAGCCAGAAATGCTCGAATGATGCAACGACAAGAGCAGGAGAGGTGACAGTATAGCTGTTTATTCTCACTAATGGACAGTGTACAGAGTATGCTGTGCTGCACTAATAAAATCATCACTTGTTTTTATAATAAATAAACACACAAACACAGACACGGGGGAGAGAAAGTAACAGCTTTCCAGAGGGAACAGCCCTTCGCTGGGACTTCACCAGTCCTCCTCTTAAACCAGCAGTAAAAGAGAAGTGGGAAGGCGTAGCTGAGCCAGTCGACTGTTTGTACGTCAGAGAGGGTAACGCTGTGGTTAATCTGCAATTTCTTTTAAACACCAAGTCGGTAGGGGACAACAAGAACAGAGACGAAGAAGAAGTACGAGCCAAGGAGCTGTGGGGAGCGCTGGGGGGAGATTCTGTTAATTAATAATATTGGAGTAACTTGGCTGCGTGCGGTGTTTATATTGGATGATACTCTGCTGATAATAAAAACTCCTTTGTGAGCAGGACAGGCAGAGAGAGAAAACAGTCATTAAGCTTTTTTCTTTTTTTTTTTTTGGACACAGAGGACAGAGAGAACCACAGTGAAATTCTCTTATATGGCTCCTTTTCCTCTCCAACAATATTAGATGCAAACAGATGGGTTTGATTTCAGCCGTGAGTCACTTTAAGCTGCTGAAAACATCAGTGACTGAACCATCAGAAGACACGAAAGAGGAAGCTTGAGAGACAAAGACGCAAATCTAAGCACCTGAGAATCAACACCTGATAGTCAACTTCATTTGCTGGTATTTTTTTTTTTGCTGAAATGAAATATCGATCGGGACAAAACTGCAGAACATAGATATATCGACTCAAGGTTTCTAGCGATGGATACGACTTGGATGAACCAGTTTTGTAGCATCTCCAACCTGCGGATCGTGTCGGACTCTTTGGATCGGGGCTTAAACTGGGCGACGCAGCTGCTGTTTGATGCTTAAATGTTGTTGGATACAAATAAGTGTAGCTATATAGACACATGTACATTACACATAAACAATCATAAGTAGAAAATGTATAAAGCAAAATAATATATTTATATATTTATACATTATGCATTAGCAAAATGCACTTGCATTGATGGAGGTAGATAGCAAAGATTCAGAGGTAAAAAGGCATATAGATGTCGCTGTGCTTTGGAGGAGAAAAGTACATAACGTGGCTGCAAAATCTGAAGTTAAATGCAAGAATTTTTGTGTGCTTAGTAATAAGTGTATACAGTACAGAGTATGAGGTGAAAGGAAAAAGTGGCAGGATGCTGCTGATCTCCTTGAGTTACCCATCCAGTAGTCTGGATCGGAGGGTCTGGCTTGGCTGGCAGGGCTCTCCACGCTTAGCAGGAGGCTCTGAGGGAAATCGTGTCCCTGCAAACAGGCGTCTGAGGGCTGCGTGGTCGGCTCAGACGAAGAGCACCGAGTAGGGAGGGCACCGGCAGCGCTCGGAGGACGACTCTCGCACCCAGGAGCCGTGGCAGCCCGGGACTGAAGCTGCTGCCCAGAACGTTCTGGAGAACAAACGGCCACATCAAGCGTAAGAGGGTGTATCATGGGTTTCTAATTAATTAATTAAAGCATGTTTCAAAGTGTCATAAGTTGGCATAAGTTGTGATTTACAGAAACAATGAGGCGGTCTATGAGAAAACTGATGCCGATGCTTTCAGAGTCGTGAATTTAATGTTTTCAGAGCAAAGATACTGCCTTACATTAATACTCTAGAATATGTGGGCAGGATAAAAAGCCATTAACTATTGTTTTTTCAATTATCCATGGTCAGACAAACTAATAAATGCTTTCTATAGTTCAGCATATTTTAAAATGTATGTGTAATGGTGTGCTTAGCTCAATTCATTGTCTGTGATCTCAATCAGAGGCTCTGTTTTAACTTCCTTAACCTACCCCTATCAAGCTAAGATGTATGCTGCAATTTACATACGTGCAAAGTTGAATACACATACGGTGCATGACAGTTTTGCAAAGAAGAATAGGGTAAAAGTGCAGCGTCCAGATGTGCAATGCTGATTTAGATTTATCCACGCAGGTTGGTGCATCTACTAATTGCTTACCTGAAGGGGGTGAATACTTATGCAATCACTTAATTTACCTTTTATATGCCTATTGATTGAAGTAATTGATATCACTTTGTAGAAATCTCTTCTAACTTTCAACTTCCAAAAAGCCAAATTAACCAATAAAATGGAAAAACCTCCAGTCCATGTAAATACTTGTGCCTTTGGCTAACATACACATACTAACCTACCTTTAAGCTGCAGATACATAAAAATATCCCCACTGGTTGCTTAAGGTGCCTTGATTTGCACAAAGTATTTACTGGTTTCCTGCCACTTTCCGTTTCTTCCTGCCGCTCGGCTCAAGCTCCATTAAAAGCAAAACACTTCACGAAACTGAAAACTGTCCGGACTGTAACGGGTGAAAAACATCTGACTTTCTGGTGTTTTTCAGTTGTCGTGTTTACCTGGTGCTCTCCAGGCCGTCGCCTCCGCAGCGATCCGACTTCGACATGGCATCGCTCTGACACTCTGCACACACCAGCCTCTCTCTCACCAGCTGAGCGCTCCACAGTTTGAGTTTACACGCTGCACTGGCCTGTTTCACCCGCAGGTACACGCAGTAACTGCAGGCACAGAGTCCAGAGGAAGGGAAAATGTCAAAAAACACAACTGGTACAAACACAGGGGTCAACAAGTTAAACCACACACTTCTGGACTGAGGAACTCATCGATGTAACCGTGTGGATAAAGCACAGCTCTGTTCCCACAGCTCTGCAGCCAAGAGCTCAACATCTATTATTTTGTTCTCTGGATTGGTCAATCATTCACTCACATATGCCAGCGCAACATCTCTTACAAAACAGGCAAATGGAAAATGTCCAGATGAAGACCCAGAGGCCTGATTGAAGCCCTCCCAAAAAACAGGCCTCCCTCCTCCTCTTCCCTCCCCGAAAACAATCCAACTGGGTTTGAAGGATGAAAGCCAAATGGCAAATCCAACCCAATATAACCAGACAAAACATACATTTGCCGATAGGAGATTTGCTCCATTTGAAGGTGATCCAACAGTGTCATGGTCACCTGAACAATCCTAATATCAACACAGCTCAGTCTGCACACTGGGAGCAACAATAAAGTCTTGTTTTTCTCATCACTGTGTTCTCTGGCAGACACTTTGAACTTCGCTGCACTATTTATTTTGTCTCTGATTCAGTCAGCTGTGACAAAACACCGTCCCCAGTGGGGTGGTTTGTCAAAGACAACATGAAGCTGCAGGTCCGTCTTTTTTTTCTCAGATTTTCCAGGAACTTTTGAAAAATTGAGTTGAAGTCATGTAAATCATGATTGGGTTCTTGTGTGCTTCATGTTTGAGCTACGAGAAAAACCTGCGAACGAGTAACTTAAGCAGAGTTGAATTAATTCTGTGGATTTTTTCTTTAGCCTTTGGGATTAATTTGAAATGGCTGAAGTGACCCGAGTAATGAGTCTCTAACACATATGGTACTGTACATGCACACATGCCATGGCTGAAGTGGGATTTCCTCACTTTGTTTCCTCCCTATATAGGCTTGAACTTGTCCTTTGCTGTCAAACTTCATCTCAAATGCCATAAATTCCTGCTCATTCCACTAAAAATTAATTAATTCATGAAGCAGGTTTGTGTTAAGCCACTTCGAGTAAAATAAAAACCGCCTCACGGCAATTTCCACCCTTGTCTTGACACTTTACTCATCCATATATTTTCACAGCTATAAATAGACATCCAAAGACAGCCGCTGATCTCCATTCGATGTTACATTAACCCCTTGTTTCACGAGTCAATCTCCGTGACAGCAGCATCAGCGAACCAGATGTCTGTGTGAAATCACCCTCGCCGAGTGTGATTCATGCCGAATCAATCACATTTATGAGTAATGCGCTTCCAGTCCCCCTCCGATGTTTTATATTTCAGTCAAAACAAAAGTATCCGGTGTCCATTTTAATCAGGGTGAAATGCTGAGGGGCTGTCAGGAAACCAGCAATGATTCTATCCCCCTTGTCTCAGATTCTTTCAGCTCTGAGAACATCTGCAATCACCTCAGATCAAAGATGACATCCACGCAGCCAGGCTTTACCTCTTGCACGGATTATGGCTGCCTTATCGGTAAAGGTCAGCTCATGATGCAAATATTCAAAGACGGAGTTCGTGTTACACAGCCAAAGCAATTTCACGGCTCTGCGTGCTATGGCAACCTTGGCCTTGGTCTGTATCCTCTAATCTTTCGGAGCACAAAGTTGATCTTAAAGCGACCTTTAGACTAAGTAAAAACTGAGAAACAAAAAAAAAAACAGCTGATATGAAGCTGGAGTGAAATCCAGCAAAGTTGGAACTTGGAGGTAGATCTAAAGAAGTTCATGCCATCATGAGCTGCGTCTGCACGCTCTCTGAAATCAAACATTTGCTTCGTATTTGTGTTATTAGTGTTTCTAGTGATAGAATCAAACGATGCATACTTCATAAAAAATGCAAGGACGAATGCCTTTTTTTTTTTTAAATGAAGCAGCCTGTGGTCTAAAATATCTCAAGCAAAGCACCGGACACATAATCATTCAACACTCGGCACAGTTCAGCTGTAATTACCCCCCTCTGCATCGACTGTGCTGAAACCCATCACCACAGATGAAAACAAAGTCGGTGGCTTGCAGTCTGGTAATGGAGGCCTTACCTGGCCTTCTCCTCCTTTATCAGCATGTGTGGTCGCCTCCAAGGGTCCTTGAAGTTCCTCTTGAAAGAATCAGGCAGGATCTTTGCCACCTCTGTGTGGGGACGGAGAGGTGAACGCACAAACAAGAAGAAATACGTCACACGAGCTCCTGAGGGTCATCTTTATAAACACATTTCGCATTTTGTCTCATGACTCAGCTGCTCAAGTGACTCAGAGTGACTACAGTGGTACTTCTCAGAAATCTACTTGGAAAATTTCTGAAAAGTTTGTGTTCTGGCTTTTTTATTTACCGGAAAAGTGATTCAACGGTAGAGCACATAACCGAGGTGTTGAAATAGTGCAGCTGGAGATAAGGCCTCAGAACAGATGTGTGCAAATGTGTTTCTTACAGTGAAAACCGTTAACAAGAGGGACGCCAGAGAATACTGAAACACCAAATTAATATTTAACAGAGCGCAGAGCAGGAATACATGCATGCATAAATGCACACGCGCAGTCGGCGCCTCACCTTTCGCCGTGCTGCATATGGCGTTGTTCCCGAAGCATCCTCGGCGCTGCTTGAGGTCGGGACAGGGCGTGCCTCCGTTTCTGGGGGGAACAGATACTTGGCGACTCCTCTCGGTGCTGCCGACTCCACACGGGGACGTGCATGACGACCAGGGACCCCATGATCCCACCACACAGTCAATGGCTGCTAGGGAAGCAGGGAGATACCGAGATCAGCTGAAGGTTTGAGGTCAGCAGAAATATGAACGAAAAACACACAAAGAAGAGGCCGAATCTCGTTGACAAAAAGCAAACATCTTGAGAAGAATCAGACAAGCTCGTTCTAGCTGTTTGATTCTGAAAATGACCCAGAGGAAGTTCAGAAACTTTCCCCTAATCGTTGCTGTCATGCCCAACTGCGCGGTTTAAACTGTGAGCTGCTGCACACACCCTGATCCAGACTAATGTCTCACTGAGCATTTATTCAGGTAGGCAGGTGGTAATGAGTGACTGGGTCATTACCCTTCACTTATGTCAGATCAGCTACACCCCCAGACTCAGGAAGTCTGCAGCCCAGGTCATATGTGTGTGGTGGGGGGAGCATTTAAATAAGAGGCTAATTTTGCATCCTGTTCTCTCTGGTTTTTCTCTGCCCCACGCTCAAACACACCCGTGAACTCACCACATAAACACAGCGGCAGCGACAATCAGGCATCCCGCTCTGTGGGCTGATTTAGCCAATTACATCAGGCTAAAGAGGAAGCCGTATTACTTAGATGTCTGCTCTGATCAAAGCCGAGGGGACTCCAGCAGCAATCAAGCCTTGTCCAACACGGAGCTTTAATAGCTGCAGACGTTTAACAGCCTTGTTTTTGGGAGGAAGTGCACACGCCGTAAACACACAAACAAGACCGAGTGATGCGTTCAAACGCTCACACAAAAATTAATAAATGCAAACGTTCACATTTGCACCACAATACCGTTTAATACAGGCTGATATGTGTAGAGTTTCTTTTTCTCTCCCACTGTAGACAATAAACGTTTAACACAATGAGAGCAGGTGCACACAGCTTGAAGCTCTTAGATGTTCTCGGTGAAATTATAGGAGTGGATAAATATACCATAACTGGATCTAATCCTCACTCGTCATCTAATCTGCCTCACTCTATCTTTATAATACGCACTCGGCCCGCGGTACAATGCTGCGAGTGAATAAGTATGTGTGTGTGTGTGTGAACGGGAGAAAGAGAGGGAGAGGGCGAGCGAGCTTTCAAGGTGCCGCCTGCTCGGTTCATTCCCATGGTCCTGTTGGGGTTTCGGAGGGGGGGCGGCTGCCTCAGTGACACAGCCGATCCACAAAGCCACTGTGGAATCTCTGCATTCCTGCACATTAGTGCTGCCCACCTGACACTCGCCTTTCCCAGATCGCCACACACACACACACACACACACACACACACTCAGAAAAAAAATCCCTGTCAGATAAATCCTCCCAGTTGGGCTTGTTCCACCCTCGGCCATCACCCTAAAGCACACAGACGTACACGTTTTCCTTCGTAAACTTGTTGAGAGACACGAACGTACTTGAGAGATTACAGAAGGGCGTGATGGAATCAGACACCACAACCCTATCAAACTTCCTACTCTCGCCTCCTCCACCTCTTCTTATCCTCGCTCCTGTCTGCTCGCCTTTCCTTCCCTCTTCTACATCCTCTGACGCTGGCGGGGCAGCGGGGGAGAAAAACACAAGCGAGCGGGGCAGTTGAGGTCTGCGCGGTGAAACCGATAGGGTCGGCGAGTTCCCGCACCCGAGGGGAAACAGGGCTATTATCCCTCTGATCGACACCGACACACACACACACACACAAACAGGACTGAGGCCCTGTCTGGAAGTCTCAGCCTGTTGGCCTCGAGCCACCAAAGGTCAGGAGGCAATTACTAAACTGTGGTGGTCTCCCCCCTCTCAGTCTGCTTCTGGTACCAGCAGTGCAACGCCACCCACGTGATAAGCCTGCTGACAGTGTGACACAGCCTAACCCACACAGTCACCGCTGTCCCCCGTCTGCATTGTTGACGAGAAAGTCCCCGGCTGGAGAGTCACCACCTCCGACCTCCGACCCCAATACAGGAAACAAATGGTGCTCGTGGTCAGCATGTTCAGCCTCTGGGTTCCTGATAAGCTGAGATTTTTACTTTAGTTTCCCCTCAGTGAAGATTTCTATTATTTAAGAATAGCTGCAACTGATTTGAGATGAGCATTCCCTAATATTTGGAAGCACAATGTTCTTGTTAAAACAGTAAAATTAAAAGAGAAAGAAAAACAGCTACAGAATCTGGAAACTTTCAGCTTCTTTCCATGGATAAGGAGGATCCTATACAAGCAAACTTTCTGCCCAAATTAAATGAATTCTTGAGAGCTGTTCTATTTTTATCCGTGCTCTTCCAACCAGTTCAGAGTGAGTCGGATTAAAAAAAGGTTTTCACATACTTCTGTGCACCATTAGCAAGAATTAGCAACATCACAAATCAGATAGCAGTCGGCGGTTCCAGCCAAATATCTGATCAAATACACAACACGCTGCAGAGACGATGCTTTACACGGTGTTTGAAATCTTGAGTTAAAGACGTAGTTTAGAGCGACAGGAGTTACGACTAAGCGAAACAAACCAACATCTTCACTTCAATCTCCCAACTTCTCAGCCAATCTCCAGCCACTCTTGTTACAGTGAGATAATAGCGCCCTATCTCGGCCTTCGGACCGGCATTCCTCTGCTCTTCCTTTTCACTCTCCCTGAACTGTGCTTCCATTTTAGGGTTTCATAACAAAAGAGTTATCAGACCATCCCGCCCAATTTGCTTTATCTTCTTCTCCCTTTATCACTTCGCCCGGCGCTCTCCCTTGTTCTTTCTTCCCCCCCATCTGTCTCCTTTTTTTGGCCCTCTTCTTTTTTCACTCCCCCGCCTCCCCTCTGATGGGACCCAGATGTCCAGCTGCTCCGGACGACCAGAGCACCTCAAAACCTCCGCCGCCACCCTCCTCCCCTGTAGAGAGCTGGGCCTCGGTCCCATCAGACAAGCCCCGCAATGTTCAGCACAACAGAGCGCCATAAGCCTGTTAGTAGGAGTAGTGAAGGACACGGGACTGAGCGCTAATAACAGGTTAGCACGTAAATGTTTCCTGTAGACACCTTGAAAAAGGGGGGAGCCAAGCCAAGCAACTAATTAAAAGGGTTCATTATAAACACAGCTGAGACAGATTTTCTTTTTTAAAATTGCAGAACCTTGCAGAAGTGTTTGTATTGTCTGACCTCACAGCACTATAGTTGTATAAAAATGTGATTTTTTTCACATCCTGACAACTAAATAAGACAGCACAAAAGAAGAAAATGTGCTTGATGAGACAAAATGAAATTTGCTTCAGTGTAATTTAGAGACTGAAGAATGAAAAGCATTAACAAAAGTGGACCATTTTCTGTTGATGCTTGGGCCTCACTTCAGATCAAACATAAAAAAACAGCTGGAGGAGCCTAGAAGAATGTGGCGTCATTTAAAATTGTAGGAAATTAGCAAGTCATTGGTTGCAAAACAGCCACAGTTCAGCCAGATTAAGGCAGAGAAAACCTCACTGGCATCACTAGTTAGACAAATGACTTAAAGGGAATAACAACGGCTCAAAAAGTCCACTCGAACTTTTATGTTTTGCTCAAAAAGTTTAGAGATCTGCAAGCAAAAAAAAAATCTTATTACCAGCATGCTGACTTACTCAGTGCTAATATATTGATGCTAACCAGGTATTTTTTACCACCGTTATAGTTTACAGTGTTAGCACGCTCATTTTCACTAATGATGAGTTTAAAAAAAAAGCAAGACAAAAGGTGAAGGGGGCGACTTCATGACGTGGAGGATATGAATGTACGCATCAGATTTAATGTTAATCTGTTCAATAATAGTCGAGAAACTTCCCTCAGCGGCATAAATGTTGATCTTATGGTGGCACCACAGGATTCGTTGTCTAGGACATTTCTGTTCAGATGTTACCCTTAGTGTGTCTAGTAATGCTTACATAACCATAAAGGGTTAGTTCAGCCGATTAATCATTAAATTATGCAGTCATGTAATATTTCTTCACTCATGTTTTTACAGTCTGGTGGTTCATCTTGCATCTATGTCCTACTGAATAAAGAGCTCCTATGAAAACTGTTGACACACATCAAACTCAGAAAACATGTTTTCTGGGCTTAAAGAAGCCAGATGCAGGAAATCAAATTAGGAACCAGCAGCGTATGGGTGCATACGGGGATCGAGCACCAGCAGAAACTGGACAGTAAAATGTTTGTCCCAACAGCTGGCTCATTTCAACCTTTGCTGGGTTAAAAAAAACCCAAAACATTCCCGACTCGCAGAGGTTGAGGAAAGAACGTGTGGGATGCGAGGAAGAAAAAGAGGGAGTGAACGTAGGTGGAAAGAAGCAAACATGGCGGCATGACAGCATAGAGTGCCCCAGAGGGAAGGGAGAGAAGCTCAAGTGCCTGCAGGAGGAACAGATGAATGATGTGCAAAGCTGTCATGTGTCTGAGGCCACAGCATGTCTTCCTGTTAGAGTGAGAACTACCAGACACCAGCGAGAGGAGAGCAGCCTCCTGTGGGCCACTATCATCTCCAGAGTGCATGAAGAGGAACGAGAACTTATCTTAATGGGAAACCTGATGTGAGGCTGAGATGTGTGAAAACTACTCCGGCTGTAAGATTTAATTTGTTTGGAAATAAACCAACTAAAAATGCTTCAGTTTTTTGCTGATATAAATCTGGAAAACACCCACTGAGAGTTGAAGCCAGACACTAGAAGCTTAACTCATCATCGTGTTTGTGGTTTAGATGCTGACAAATGGTTTAAATTTATCACCTCTTTAACCCAAAGAGCTTCTAAACAAACTCAGATAAGCCTCGACTTTATTTAGAAACTGAATATTAGGGTTGTTTTTCAGGGAAGCTCCTATAATTTGTACATTTTTAAAACCTAAAGAATCCAGAAAGCCGTCAAGAGGCTGAGTTTTGCACGAGTGGATCCAAACCAGACCAGAATTGTAGTGCTTAGTTCTGTTACTGTGCATGTTGAACACTCCACCGCTAACACCACTTCTGAGATGTTTACACACTGCAGCTCTTAACAGCAATAAAAATCTGTCGCTGTTAATTGAGGGAATGTCCTCCACACTGTTTACACACAACACGCGTTCCTGCCAAACGCTTCCTTTCGACGAGCGAACGGCATCACACTCTGAAGAGCTTCGAGCGTTTGCGTCCAAGTGGTGCAAACAGAGCGCCGGTTCCTCTGTCTCTCCTCTGATGTCACCCACTCCGAGCTCTTAATTACAGACCGTGACAGACAGTACACAGACAAACCCCTTGATGCGTTGCAGAGCCGCAGGAGCGGAGATCAGATAATGTGGGTGAGAAAATATCAGGGTGCTTTGATGGAAGCGAGCCGAGCCACAAGGTGCGAGCTGTGTTTATGGTGTGAAGATGCTCAGGTTGCAGAGAGACGTCGCTCAGCGCTTACTGATCCATGCAGAGGTCACAGGTCAAGTCGACATCACTCTCATGCTCAGATTCATCTCTGTCGAGGCTCCATCAACATCCAGCAGCCGTGTATTGATTCTGCAGGAGCCACGATCATCTGGGAAACATTTTCCGGTCGGTAACACCTGCGTCGCACCTTCGTGTTTCTGCTGTTTGTCACTTCAGGAGTCAAGCTGTCAGAGCAACACCGTGCTGCTCGCGTGAGTGAACCGACGCACACGGCAGCTGCGACCTCCGTTAAACAGCGCGGTGATGACTCAACGCTAACCTGAGGTGGTTTCCTGTGCTTACTCTGTTCTGCTTCAGCTTGGCAGACACATGGGATGGATGAAGTGATGCCTGGAATCCACTCAGCTGGCTGCTGGCTTGTCAGAGCGGTTTCTACGTGTCTCTTTTATTGATTGATGAAGAGGAAAAAATTGAATATTGCTTTTTGTGTTTGGAAAGTTTTTGTTTTGAAGTCTTAACTTTTACCAGTCGAGTAGAGTTTATTCATTACACTGAAATACTTCTGTCTCATGTTTCCATTCCAACAGTTCACATGTGCAGTATTTTTCCCTATTTAATGGGACACTGTTAGATCTTCAGCTTTTATGGCATTTAAAGTAATACATTCATTTCTTTTTGTAATATTTTACCAGCCTAGAGGCTATGTTTAATTCACATTACAGCCAAACATTTCCACTATTTAACGTCGTGACCACGTGACAATAACATCACTGCAGCCAAAACGAGAGCAGACGTGATGTTTACTGAGATGGATCGCTTCTCTCGAGCAAATTTAAAGACTCTGCAAAGTCCAATCGAGGAAAGTTTTATTTATTTGGCTTAAAACTGCAAATGACAACTTTGCATCAAAGGGCCACACAATCTGTGAGAGATTTAGACTGAAACTCTGCTCAGCTGTTACTCAAATTAAAGGCTCTTTAAAGGGTTTAAATACACTTAAACATAAAGTAACTGAAGCTACAGGATTTCCAGAAAGCTCAGCATGCTAAGGTATTGAAGCAAATAGGTTAAAACAGGGACTTGTGTGTGTCTCTTTGAAAACAAGTGCAATATTCCAGCATGCTGTGATTAATAGCTGTTTCAGTTTTCTGTGGCGTAAACAGTGAGGTCTAATAAACCTCCATCACAGGACTTTTGCACAAACTTTCTGCTTAATGACTGGAGTCTGGATGAGGCAGCCTGTTCACATCACAGCACACATGAAGCACTCAAACAAAGGCTCACTCTGTATACACTAAATGTGCCTAAATAGAGGGACCTGTGCAGCACTTTAGGAGCTCTTTGACTTGTCCGACTGACCCTGCAGGTGCTTGTTAGCGTGCACTTAAGGCCAGGGGTCACACTTTGAGTGTATCTACGCGCTGATAATCACTCCTTGGGGGGAACCTGAATTGTTTCAACACATTGTAAGAGCTGCCTCAGTTACAGTTCAGAGTGCTTCCTGTCTGTCACGTCTCAGACACAGCTCTACTGTAATCCTGACCATCTTTGGCAGTCTGTTCCCATGGTGTCCATTCCCTCATTTGGCCATATATAGCAGCAGCCAGGATGAGGAGGGAAGCGGTTACCTAAGCTCACCTTTTAGAGGTTTTGTGATCAGCCTCAGGAGTCAAACTTATTGTGTCTTTGTGGAAGAGAAAACGGCTGCTTGAGCTTTCCGGCCGCTCGGTGAGCAGGTTGTGCAATTTGAAGCTTTGATGTGAAGGTCAAGGGTCAATACTACAAACCTAAAAACACATACGTACAACTTGTTTTTGGAAAAATGCACGGAAACACAACTCCAAGCCCCCCTCCTCCTACAAGTGGTCACTTCTGGCTGGTCACTGAAAACAAACAGCAGTGAGACAGCTATGTGCAGTATGTCTCACTGTCTCTGTGTCACCTCAATGCCAGCCACCTCTGCTCCAAACTAGACAACAATGAACAACAGCTGGTAGGATGCAGCTGGAATCTAAACAAAATATGTACAGCAGAGAAGTCATTTGAACTTCTAAACCTCAAAAGCATTTTGTCATTTGGTGCCAGACGTCAGTGAGCAGCGCAGAACAAGCAACTCACCAGATATTAGGCACACGCGCTGGTAGTCCTCGCAGCAGTCTCTGGTTTTCTGACAGTAGGTATCACAGTAACACACTGTTTTCCTCTTCGTGTACTCAAAGCATTCGTTATTCCGGCCGGTGCAGCAGTTCGGGCTCTCCCTCTCCCTGCAGCCCGCCTCAGCCTGCGGGACAAAGTGCCCGCAGAAAAACGCCAAGTATCCACAAACGACGAAACCGAAGCTGGCTGAGCTCCATCCATGCGCTCCCATGACGAAAATCTCTTTTCTTTTTTTTTTTCTTTTTTTTTTTTCTAGGACCACTTGCTCCGCTGGACTACGCTTCACTATAATCTGGATTATATTACAAACAAATGCTGGTGTTTTCTATTTAAAATCCAGGTGCAACATGGTTTAGTTTAAAAACGAGGCGACTTCTGTGTTGACACCTACTCGAACAACTGATGCGTAAAAGTGGAGCCTTGTGCGCACCAGCTCCGCTCTATTTGTGAGCCGGACACCGCCCCTCAGGGCTACTGTTGGCTGTTGGGAAACACGTACAGTACCAGCCTCTCTCTCTCTCTCTCTCTCCCTCTATGTGTGTGTGTGTGTGTGTGTCTCTCTCTCTTGCTTGTGCGTAAAAAACTAAATCAAATTACTCAAAAAATGTGTTTTGCAACCATCTCAGCCGAGTTACAAGTGAGACTCATTCCTGGAAAACGCAGCCAAAACTAAATGAGCTCTAATGAGGGCATTTATAGAGTCTTGCATCGTTACACCACAACTGCATCCAGAAAAAAAAAACTTTTTAAGGAATCCAAAAACAACTAAAAAGAAACGAATCTACGTCTCGTTAGTTTTCTGTTTCAAAATATGTAAACGGCACATGTGAGGCCGTTTAGCCGCCAATCACCAAAAAATCTCCTTCAGCACCAAGGACAGCGGCGCAGCCTCTTGATATCACGTTAATGAGTAAATAAAAGAAAACTAGAGTCAGTCTGCAGCTACTGCGGGACAGGACGAGCTCTCTGCTGAGCTGCAGCCACCAAATCATCTCCTCTCATCGTGTAGAATTAAGTGCATCCACCCCACTGAGAGAAAGACAAGACAACAATAAGATTATTCACCCTTCACTGGTTCAGAGTGAATGGAGAAAGTCAGCAGCGGTGATGGAAACTGTAAAAGCACCAGCCAAAGACAACATCCATCCTCTGGTTAAAGTAGCAAGTGAGGAGCTGGATTCAAAATAAATGTCCTGATATGTGAAGATGTTGTGCCAAATGTCCACACGGTGTTTAGTGCATCAGTCTGTAGCAAGTATTATGAAAAGTAGCTGGTGGTGATGCTGTTTAAAGCACTGCTGATCCTCTGAACTGCTATTTTTTGGCTGTAGCTGTGAAATTCTAGATATTTTAATTTCTTCAGCGCTTCAAAAAATGTGTCATGTTAAAGGAGAAATGACCACATTAAGGTCATGACCTGCTGCAAGGTCTGAAAGAGAGATTGTTTTATCTTAAAGCTAAATCACTATAAGCATAAGTGTAGTATCTTTAAAATGCCAGAGATGTAAAATATGAGCTAGTATTAATACCTCAAATCTGTGCTCCATTAAATATACCGTGTTTGAGTGTTTGTAGTCCACATGTGGGACAAAACGAACACAGTGAAGCTCAGAGAAACACGGAAAACTTAACGTGGAGTTCAAAGATAATCTCAAGGCCTGAGCTGTGTGTTCAGTGTCTGTGAAGATGATGAGAGATTTTTAGGTAATTCTGGACCAATGCAGCAGCAGCAGGAGGAGGAGGAGGAGGAGGAGGATGGGGGGAGTGATGATGTTAGGATGAAGGGAAGTTGGTGGGCGCTTTGACGCTCCTCATATAAAGCCCTATTGTACAGATATGAAGAGAGAGGAGGCGTCTCTCATCGCTGCCGTGTGTGTGTGTGTGTGTGTGTGTGTGTGTGTGTGTCCGTGTCTGTGTGTGTGTGTGTGTGTCAGGGGCGACACATGAACACGTGTGTTTGAGCAACAGCTCTCCCTAGTGTTTAAAATAAACCCTGTAGCATGCACTGTACCTGTGTTGTGGTAATATTGGAGAGTTCATGCAGTTACTTCAAGAAGATTTGCTCAAATATTGCATTTATGCACAATTTAGCAGCATGTAGTGGAGATATTTACACTCCTACTCAGCAACATCTTGGTGGCAAACATTGCTCTTTTAACTCCACTACATCTATTGTAAGCGTTTAGTTCCAGTTTACTTTGAGATTCAAATTATTAATGGAAAGATTGTGACATAAATTCATTCATTCACTACTACACTACTATGTAAAGAAAGCGGTCAATGCAGTTTGACCTTTACCTTTTGCCTTTAATTCCATCTTAAATATCATTTACCTGTTTATTATCCTGACACAACGGTCCTGCAAGAAATTAAACTTTTATGAAAGGTACAATGCAATACAAACTACATATGCACACAGTGTTGTTTTACATCTGCAGTTAGTGGTGCTGCTGTTGCATTACATTGACAGTTTTTTTTTTTTATTGTTATTTACCTCATTTATATCAGTGAGGCTACACTAAATTTACATTTTCATTTTGCAGATGCTTTTATCCAAAGCGATGTACATAGACATTCATACACCAATGGTGACAGACTCAGTGGTTTCCTTCTTGCCCAAGGACCCTTGTGGATGGGCGGGGGATCAAACCGCCAACCTCGCGATTAGAAGACAACCTGCTCTCCCATCTGAGCCACAACAACAGTGACATGGTTTTGTATATTAACACATTTCAGCAACATCACAAACTGCATCATCCAAAATGATTGTCCACTTGAATCATCCATCCATCATACATATACTTGTAAACATCAGGCCTGGCATCCTCCTGGATAATTACCCTGCTCAGTAATCAGTGTCATGCTGTCTCAGGGTTCCCACTCTTTCCCTGAAATCATTTTCCAGGACATTTTCAGCCGCTACAGACACAAGTTATCACGTCATACATCCCCTGTCCCCCTCATTCTTTGGAAGTGTTTTCCACAGTTGTAGCTTGCATTTACCTCGATTGTTTCGATGTTTATTACTCAGACATTTGATCTGCATAATAACAATAAATCATGCCGTGACCTTTGATAAAGTCACTTCGATGTAGTCAGTCTGCCTGTAAACTGGCACCTGCTTTGCTCAACAAAATCACATAATGGACCAGCAAAGGCATTTCTAGGATTTTTAGGAGCCCAAATGGAAGTTCAGCAGTTGGAATTACGTTCAGAGTTCAATACAAATATGTACCTGAGATGTGTGTAGAAATCTTTGAGCTTCCTCTCGTAGAACTGCACAGCCTGGAACACCAGACGAACCACTTCCTGAGTGTCTCCTGAGCACCTCTGGTCNATTGCTCTTTTAACTCCACTACATCTATTGTAAGCGTTTGTGCACTCTGCAGCATGCAGCTGTACGACAAGCTGCAGCTGACATACGATGCATTGGGACCCTTTTGCTGGTACACTATACAGAATTGTAGTATGGGGATTGGAAGGCTCAAAATGTGCTGAAAACCAATTTACATATACTTGTAAACATCAGGCCTGGCATCCTCCTGGATAATTACCCTGCTCAGTAATCAGTGTCATGCTGTCTCAGGGTTCCCACTCTTTCCATGAAATTATGTTCCAGGACTTTTCCAGGACATTTTCAGCCGCTACAGACACAAGTTATCACGTCATACACTAATACATTGCTCTGTCCCCCTCATGCTTTGGAAGTGTTTCCACAGTTGTAACTTGCATTTACCTTGATTGTTTTGATGTTTATTACTCAGACACTTCATGAGCAGTTTATGGCTATAAAACAAACACACCCACAGATGACAGCGTAATAATTAGCATGACACATTGGAGTTGGGTGGACAAATAATTGTACGGGATAACTTAACCATTTCCAGGACATTTGACCTTTTTTCTCATTTCCCAGGTTTTCCAGGACGTGTTGGAGCCCTGTATCTGTCTTTGCTCCACACAATGTAACACCAAATGGTTTAACAAATGAAAGCAAATCCAACCATCCAAAAGAGCAAAGAATCAAACTCCACCTCCAGTCTAGCTCTTCATTCAGCACATCAGGTGACTGTTTTTCCAAATGTTCACACTTCAGGATTTAACAGAAACTGCCTCTTCACTTATTGTAATTCACAGACTAGAAACTCTGCTGTTATATTCCAGAAATCACAGAAGTTAAATCCAGTCTCCTGATCATGCTGTGGTGCTCATGTCTTTCCTGCTATGATCAGCCATAAAAAAAGTTTAATGGGCACAAACTCAAGCACCAGTGTCAGTGGCAGAGCCTTTCATTGTTTGGCAGGAGCTTAAGAGCTAGAAGTCAGTTTTAAGATTATTTAAAGTTATGCAACTAGTATTTTGACACAAAGGTTTCCTTACCTTGAATGAGGGCACATATCTGACCAAGCTGTTCATTGTGCATTGTAGCGGCTGATTATCTATCTGCATAATAACAATAAATCATGCCGTGACCTTTGATTAAGTCACTTTGTCAGTCTGCCTGTAAGCTGGTACCTGCTTTGCTCAGCAAAACCACATAAGGGACCAGCAGAGGCATTTCTGGGATTTTTAGGAGATGTGAAGGAGCCCAAATGGAAGTTCAGCAGTTGGAATTACATTCAGAGTTCAATACAAATATGTACCTGAGGTGTGTGTAGAAATCTTTGAGCTTCCTCTCGTAGAACTGCACAGCCTGGAACACCAGACGAACCACTTCCTGAGTGTCTCCTGAGCACCTCTGGTC